ATGATAGTATCGAGCTACAGTCGTTGCGCTTTTGATATGTTTGGATTGGCTGCTATAAAATACGAAGACAAATTTGTAAAAAAATCGACAGGTGGCATCTAATTTTTACAATGGACAAGTTCCTAAAAGGTTTCAATGGTTTTTTAATAATTATTTCAGCCCGATACTATCACGATAGTATCGATTGTTTTTTCAAAACATTCGACGTTGATATTCCTCGATTTTGATATTCCGTTTAATATTACCAGCTAGCTGGGACTCTCAGCCGTAAACAAATAATTTTATCCGATAGATACATAAATTTTGTTCAGGATTGGTTAGTTTTTAGAACTCTTTTTCATTGGTTTGTTTACATATTAAGGTTCAAACAAAAACGGCCAAAGCCTAAAACTTAAATGTTGACTAAATGTGACGTCAGTGTTGCTGGTCAACCAAGTATCTTCTATGCGTATGTACTTTTGTATACCTTACTTCTTTTAATTGGTGTTAAATTTTTTGTTCCAAGCTCCATTGAAACATTATTTATGATTTTATCCTAGATTGACATGTTTTTTACATAGTAATGCACATGTTTGTGTGTTATAAATCCCGGTTCTGATACCTATTATTGGTAGTCGTGAGCTGCAAAACTTTGTTAAAATCTTTAGAACAGAGACTGAGTAGTTTCTGCATTAATTGGAGCCTGAAATTACAAACAATATCTCAAGTCCATTATATCCATTTTCCCAAGGTATGCAGATTGTTGCTCCTTCCGTGCCAAAGTTGCACAACAATGCTGCTAATTCATTTCCCGCGTATGGAATAAAGATTCATTGTTGCGTCATTCCATACGCGTTCCCGTATGGTACATTTGATTTGTATGGGAAAAATTTCAGCAACATGCTGCCACACCACGGAAATGAGGGGAAAGTCTCCACAAAAACACTCTATTCTCCACTGAAAAGAGAGCACTCTCCACGAATTGAGAGCAAATTTGAAAACTCTCCACGAATTGAGAGCGAGTTTTGCAAACATTTCCCCGATTTTGATTTTCGGATTATTATTTTAATAGATACTGGAGCCCCAGGACGGATCATATAATTTTCTACGACAAATTGATTAATTAAATATAAGACTCGCTTATTTTAGGTGTTCATGTTAATTTGATTATTCATAAAATAGGGTTTAGTTAATGGTCTTTTGATTGCACAGTTGCTGTTTTACATGGCAACTACACGCTAACTACACATTTGCAACTTATTAACTACACAGTTATTTACATTTCGACCACCATATTCCCTGATTTTGATATTAGGCTTAATTAATTAATTAGGCGTAATATTACTAGCTAGCTAGTTTGCCCACTTAGCCCTAAACAAATAATTTTATCCGATTCATTAATAAATGTTATTTATTTGTAATTTCGCGGTAATTCAACACGTTTTAAACTTTGAACTTGAAGTTGAACTTTTGATTGCGCCGCAAGGATAAGGGTAAGAGGTGTGACGTATGACGTCACAAAACTCAAAGCTTTCAAGGATAAAACCCATGTTACATTTAATCCTTCAGGCCGGGAGGGCAATGTACGAGGCCCTTAAAAAATCTTGGCCGTTTTAGTACTGGGGCCATACCTTGCCATGATCCAATCGAAAGAGAGCTCTCAAAACGCTCTCCCGACTCGTTTTTGCGTTTAAAATATGACCGCAAAAATACCCCAGAAATATACCGTAAATATACTGACGGACACTTCAAAATGCGTTGATATTCCTCGATTTTTATATTCGGTTTAAAATTACTAGCTAGTTAGCCCACTTAGCTCTAAACAAATAATTTTGTCCAGTTCATCAATCAATTTTGTACAAGATTGGCTAGTTTTCAGAACTCTGTTTCATTGGATTGTTTACATAATAAGGTTTAAACAAAACGGCCAACGCATAAAACGTAAATGTGTACTAAATGTGACGTCATTGTTGCTTGTCAACGAAGTTTCTGCTATGCGTATGGACATTTTTATACCTTATGTGCTTAAATTAATGTTACATTTTTTGTTCCAAGTTGATATGACTGGTTTTTTACCTATTCATGCAAATAATTGGTGTCTTGTATATACATTTATCACGGTCTCGATACCTATTATTGATGGTCAATTTGAAAAGTACTTTAATATAACATAGAAAATTGTGTGGAACTTGATTAAATATACTTTCATACAGCGATATACCGTAAATATACTTTGAACTCGATTTCAACGTCAAAATTTTCGCGTTATATATATATACATATATATATATAATATATATAAGCCAGGTGGCTGCTTTCAATAATTGTCTCCTGAATGCCTCCTAACCCGCTGCCCCCAGGCAGCTGCAGATGCAGCTGTTCCAATTTGTCTTCCAGAAATAAGGAATCAACTCGGAATCTTAGTTAAATATATTTTTATTGAACAAAAATGAAGTGTATATGCTTTTTGTTTTCTTTCCTTAATTAAACGCAAACTAAAAAATTGTTTTGTATTTTTTTGGCCAATGACAAAACGAAATAAAATTTTGAAAAAAATGTAGCAAAAACTTGCTAAAAATAGTTTTAATTTTGTTTGTATAAAACATACATATATATTATACATACATATGTATAAATAATTGTGTTTGTTTATTTTAATTAACTTAATTGCATTTGTTTTTTGTTTTTGCTTTGCTTTGAATGGTATTTTGTATCGAATCGAAGCGCTTAAGAACTAATTGTTAGACACTCCTGAAAGATTTGTATCGAAAAAGATCCTATTGTATGTCATTATTGCCATTGAATTTGAATTTCAAACTCAACTATGAATCGGGTTTGGTTTTTGTTCATCTCTTGGTTTTGTTGTTGTTGAAATAATATTATGTATAATATTTATTGTATTGTATTGTATATTTAAAGTCACATTTAGAACTTGTTTGATTTGTATTCATTAAACTTGATTACTTGCTGATTTTCGTTTTTGTTTTTTGTTTTCCTAATAACAATTAAAAAGATCACCAAAGTTACAGATTTCCCATATTTACGTTGCTCAATTAACGTTATCTTTATGCCGATGTATTGTATGTATTTTGTTTATTTCGCTTATATTATAACTAATTTAATGTATTTTATTTATTGATTAGTTACCCGGCATTTTGGTTGATTTTTAAAGTAATTTTTGAAGGGGATGTTATGTCAGATGATGATCTCATTTATCGAAGATTGGTTACGCGATATATATATGTATGTATGTATTTGTATATTTATGTATGTAAGTATGGATTATGTACGATTTTCTAGTCGAATTTCAGCTAAGGGTTTACTAGTACCTATGTATCTCTGATTCGTAGCGAGTGCGTGTGCAGTGCGGGACTGATTGGAAGAGTATATAGAGTACTACACACACACACATATCTGTGAGTTACACAAGTTAGAGATATACATACATATTGAAACATATATAATTGCTTGGTGTTTTTTTTTTAGTCCTTATCATTTCTCGATTTCTCTGGCTAATTGGTAATTGTGGCAAATAGATTTTGTTTGTTATTTTTATATTTTTATTTCCTTTAGGAAGAGTTGTGCAAATTGCTGTTCTAGCTTCGATTTTGTTCTGATTTTATCCCTATATATTGTATAGTATATATGTAACTATATGTATTCATGTTGTATATAATTGTAGACATCTATAAACGGCACATTTATAAGTAATATACGTAGAAACAACACGATCCTATCCGATCCGATCCTATCCCAATTTATGTAGATTATTCCATCCCATCTCACCGATTTGCGTTTCCGTGTCGTTTTTTGTGTTTTGTTTTTTTAGTATAAAGCTCAATTGAATTTTGACAGATTAGATTTTAGTTAATTTAAATTGTCTTTCTGTAGGTTGTTTATCCCCAACACCGACCCCGACTTATGCGCAGAACTTAAGATATTGGACGTTCTACACTGTTCTTCTGAGTCAGATCCTGATTATTCTTCAACCTCTCTCTCCCCACTCTTCTTCTATCTGCGATAGCTGCCACACTGAAGAAACCGTTAAATTGTTGCACGTGTGTGTGTATGTTGCGTGTTTGTGTGTGTATTGCTTGAAGAAGGAAGTCGTAGTGTAAACTAGGATCTACATTTAAATCTCCTCTATACATATATCTATAACTATGTAGATACAAGTATATGGGGATGCAAGTACTTGCCCCTTGTCTGGATAGTTATTGGCCATTTTCTTGCATGGATGGTCTGGTCTCTCCATAAATCTTCCGTCTAGCAATTAGTTAAAGCTTTTGGACACATTTTCTTCTAAATGAATCAATTGTGTCCGTCTCTCGGTGAAAGTAAATTATTGCTGAATTCTAGGCTCATTCTACAACTACGAGATGCATTCATTGTCATTATCGGGCACACTTTCACTCTTCAGCTTCGGCTTATGCTTAAATCTAGACAAGATAATCGTATGTATGTATATATATGAACCTCGATATCCCATCCTTTTTGCATTGTGTTTCGTTTGCGTTTGGCTTAAAAATAGGATTGGATTCCGCTCGGGGATGATGGGTAATAGACATTCTCTTTAAGTTTAGAAATAATTTTAAAATTTTAATCCCTTGTGTTGAAACGTGACTAAAAAGAACGAATCGAATGGAAACGACAATTAAATTACAATTTGAATTAAAAGAAATCAGCTTTTAGATCAGATCAGAAATGTGATTTCTCTCTCTCTCTCACTGACGATTACAGACTAATTTGTAAGAGTTTTATAAATGTATACATGCAAATTAATGTATATATTGGTATATATATATATATGTGTATATATATTGAATTTTACAATTCTCACATCATGTATGCGACTGGCAAAACTAAGCCTAATTTGATGATTGTGTTGGGGTTTGCGTGGGTTGTACTCGTACATAGCATACAATACATAAGTATAAGTATAAATAAGGTGCTGGTGCAGGAGGGACGGCGAGAGAGGGCTCTCCTCCTGCATAGCATTTTAATAAAAAATCATTATAATGTTAACTTGAACTGTGTCCTCGATATATAGAACATGTATTATTCATCTTTCCATATTGCATTTGTTTTTTTCTTGTCGTTTGTTTTGTTTTGTTTTGCTTTGTATTTGATTAATGGCAAAATTAAAACTACTTTGTAAAATATTGAAATGTTGTTGCCCCCACCACCACCACCCGCACAGTGCAGGTGTAGTGATGAGTGGGAGTTGTTTTTTTAACCTTGTTTTATATTACCCGTACACCACTTGGCTAAAAGTTAATTTTTAATACGAAATTACATGGATGCTGTCTCGCCCCAGCAAACGCGAGGAAATAACAAATAATGGTTTTGCTCTAAAAAAATTTAAAATATTAAATACAATTAAATATCGTTAAGTTAAGCTTACGGTTTTAAGGTACATAAATAAAGGGTGGACATTTGAGTGATATGCCTGGGGGGACTTGGTGTGTGTGTGTGTGTCTGTGTATATTTGCGGGCGTTTTGGCGTCTTGTCTCGATGAGCATAAAAAAAGATTAACTAAAGACTAACACAAAATATCAGCATATTATTTGCACTTTTGAACAAAATTATATATATACTACATATATATAATTTCATATATATGATGTATGTATGTATATGCTTAAGTATTTCCGGTATCGCATTCGTAACTGTTTCTGGGTTGGTTGCTTGATTATTGCCCCGATTCTTTAAAAAACTTTATAATTAGTACTGTGTATTTGTTGAATTTTCATAAATCTATGTAAATATTAATAGCAATTGTTATAACCATACGTTTTGTCCCTTGTAGAAATTGGAGTTATCGTTATGCCGCCGCTCTTTCTCTCTCTCTATATATGTATCTTACTGTCCATCTTCGCTTCTATGATTTTTTGGTAGAGCCCAATCTTACAAACTATTAAATGTTTTCAGTTTAATCTGCACTTTAGTTATTGAAGTATTTTTTCCGTTTATTTCGTTTCCGTATATGCTAAGTTGTGTTTCAGCGCTTTAATGCCTTTGTCGAGTCGAGTGTCCCCCACTTATTGGTGTTTAGTTTTGTTTCCCTTAAATGTTCATCTTCATCTTCGTTTTTATTTGCATTTTGCATTTTCATTTTGGTGGTGGTCTTCGTTCACAGTACAGAGAATCAGAGTTTTAATTTGTTTGTCGTGTGGTTGTGGTTTTTGTGGTTGTTGTGTGAGTCTTCGATCAGCAAACATATTCAATTGTTTTTTGTGTGCTTTGTTTTTCTTTCGTTTTTGTATACTAAAAACCTTTGGTTGTATGCATTACATTCTCTTCCATTCGTTCATTCATTCCTATGCTTCATTCCCCATCGATTCTTCGATTTGTTATTTGTAAAAATATATTGTACAATTTATTGTATTTTTAATTGGATTCGTTTTCCCCCCACATTTACAAAAGTTGTGTGTCTATCTTTCGTGGTGTTGTTCTTGTAAGTAAGTTTGATTTGATGATAGAATAGATAATGCTGCTGCTTGGCTTTTGGTGTTGCGTTCGTAGTTTTTGTTCCCCTTTAAGTTTAGTTTTTTGTTGAAATGTTTTTCCATTTTTTTTGTTGTTGTTGTTATTTGTTGGTTTTGTTTGTTTGCTACGCTTTTGTTGAGAATTTTCACATTTTGTTGTGCATTAACATTCGATTCCCTTCCCTATTCCCTATTACTATAATCAATTCTTCACGGTGTCGTGTCGCGTTGTGTGAGTGTGTGAGTGTTTGCTGTGGGAGTTTGTTGTGTCGTTTTGGCCTAAAACTAATGCATGCAAGATATTCCTTATATACTCATTAAACGCGCTCTCTTCCTCTCTATCTCTCACTATCTCAACTTAAACTTTAAACTTTCAACTTAACAATAACTCTCTCTCTCGCTCGCTTGCTCTCTCGCTCTTTGCTTGGCTTTTCTGTTTTGAGGAGGGATTTGGGAGTAGGATTATTGGGATGGATGGTGGGTGGGTTTTCTCTCTCTCTCTCTCTCTATATATTTCTTATTCGAATTGAATTTCGAAATTGATTTTTGATTTTTGTTGTGATTTTCTTGGGGTTTATCTTGTGTGGTTTTTGGTGTTGGTATTGGTATTGGCTACTTTTTAGGCAAAGTACATGACCTTCTTAGTGTCCGCATGGACCGTGATGGCTCTGGCCATGGCTCCCGGTGTCCGATCCTCTGAGCAGCCGCTCTGGTGTGAGCCCTCGCCGGAGTCGTGCTCCTTCTCCACCAGATGATACCTGATGGCGTAAGTAGAGGGAAAAAGCATTCAGAATTAGAGGAACAGCAACAAGCTGCAGGGTATTTCCATCTCACCTGGCACGAAAAGCCACCAAGTGGGCATAGTAGGCTGGAGCTGGTATGCTGACGGACCGTGTGCACCGCACATAGGTGTGGCACAGCTGATACGTGAGGCACTGCAGCTCGTCGGAGTCAAAGTGATTGTCATCCCAGAGAACGTGGTAGTGCGAGGGTCGACTGGTGCCCTGGATGCCCTGATGGCTGCACAGATAGAAATCAAACTCGGTTGGATGCGTGATGCCCACATCGACGGTGGTGCCGGCCGGTATGTTGCCGGATTTGCCGCTCTGCTCCTTTCTTCTCGGCGCAGAAGAGTCGCGTGTGATGGCGCTTCTGAACAACGATGAATGTGATGCCTGGCCGGTACTCGGGCTCCAGCTTGATGCACGCCTCTCGGATGGCGGTCAGCTCGTGCTGCAGCACATGCGGGAACTGTCCCTCGGAGACGCCGTCGCGGTACAGTATGATTCGGTGGGGCTTGTAGCCACCCGTCGATTTGTAGAACATGATCAGCAGCTCGCGCACCATGCTGCTCAGCTCCTGGATGATCTCCTGGCGGTGTTGCTGCACGCGCACGGTGGCTGCATATCGCGACGGATGGGCGTCCATTGAACCAACAACAGCCGCAATCGAGGGCTTCTTGTTATCGCCGGCTGGTGGGTGGGTGACGTCAGCTCCCAGAAAGATAACGGGCTCGTTGAAGACCTTGGGCCGGATGGAGGGCACCAGAATCGAATTGATGCCGCCCAGCTTGACGTTGATCTTCAGACACAGATTGGACAGCGTCTGTGGCGATGTCTTGTTCACGTTCTTCGCCTGCACACACTGGGTGGCCATGCCCAGGACGGTGTCGCCCACGCGCTTTACCTCCGCATAGACAGGGGTCTTGCCGGGCAGCACAACCACGACGAGCTGAAGACCCGGGAAGGTGATTTTCAGGTAGCGGAACATCGGCTCCACTTGATCCGGCCCCGTGGCATATTTGCAGAAGCAGGGCTGCCCTATGATCGGCATACCGGCATCATTTGAGATCTTCTGCAGCTGCTGGGTGAAGTTCCTCAGTGCATCCTCGCGCACCGTTCGCTGCGGGGCGAAACAGGCAATGGCCCAGATTCTGATCTCTACGCCCGTGAAGAACTGCTTGCCGCGCATGTCCCAGACGCCCTGGTTGGGCGAGGCCAGGCTCACCTTATTCTGGGGCGGAAACAACTGCTGCCCGGTGATGCCAGTGGACACACGTCCCCCATACTGAAGCTTCGGCGGGGGCAGCACTCGTCCCCTCACCTCCATCATCGAATTGGAGATGGCCAGTCCGAACTCCTGCACATACGAGTCATTGTTGAAGTCCGCCCTCTTCACCAGGTTGTTGATCTCACGCTCGCGATCCGGTGCCGAACGTGCGGTGGCCTTGATCATCGTCGAGGTCTGCATGTCGGTCAGCTTCTTGATGCATCGCTGTCCAGCCACAATGTTGCACACCTCGAGCGGCAGATAGGTGTGCTTATGCTCCTGTCCCACCTGCAAGCAGGGCAGATGAGGGTAGCGCAGCTTCATTCGATACTTGTCCAGGAAATACTTGGCCACGGTACACTCCACGGTCTGACCATTCTCCAACTGCAGTGGGAATCTGTTCGAGGAGAAAGAATGAAGGAGGATTATATACTGCTACAGTCCACAGTCCCAGATTGAACTCACGATTGCATTTGAGCCGGTCGGCGGGTTACATTGCAGACACGATACTTGCGCCGCATCTGGCCACAGTGTGTGATCTCAATCTTGAGTCCCTTGATCTCCTTGGTGAACTTCACCCGCTGGGAGTCGGTGAGCGGTTTGCGCTGCTCCATGATGTCGCGTATGTCCAGCACCTCGCACATAAAGTCAATCACGGGTTGAGCCTTGTAGAATGCGGTGGCCGAAACTGCAAACAGGCGGAGAGGAGATTAGCAAACGAGGAGAGAGCAACGAGCGGTATAGGGACGCACCATCAATGTTCAGCATCATCTTCCACTGCGAGGGCCTCACGCTCTGATGGAAACCGAACCAGACCTCACGTCCACCACCCAGAGGATGGTAGTAGCCATCCGGAGAGCTGAAGAAGCTGCGTCCGACTGGCGTATAAGTCATGCTCGGCAAATGTCGCATGACCACGTCCAGGGCCAGGATGGCGTCGTAGGGTATTTGACGCGTGCGACCCTCCAGAGCCTCCTCCAGGTTGAATAACGAGACCTGCGCCTGCCACTTGATCGTCACGCGGAAGATGCGGTCCTTGCCCTCGCCGGGCAGGGTCACCTCCAGCTCCAGGCGCTCGTTGCCAATCGGCAGGGGATCGCGTGTGTAGAGATTGTTGCGTCCATCGAATACCGGTTTCAGAACGCCAAAGATCTTGCTGTAGGCCTGCACCATGGTCTCGATAATCTCGCGATTCACCTTGCGCGGACACTTGTCCGGCTGTATGTTGATGTCGTAATGATGTACATAGCCGCGGGGCATCGTCACCTGGAAGTGATTGGCTCGAAGTACGATCGGCCTGCCCTCGCGTCCCAGATTGGGGCGACGCGGGCATGTGAAGACGGGCATATCCGGATTGGTGGTCGGGGTAGCGGTGGCAATTGCAGCCGTCACAGTACCGGTTGTTGTGCCCAGGGTGGACGCCACCTGAGCGGCGGCTGATGAGGCCGTCGCACCCACAGTGGCACCCCCAGCTGCCACATTCTGAGCACTTGGGCTGGTCACAGCGGTGGGATTGACCGATGAACCAGACGCTGGTGGTGCTGCAAGGCCAATTTCGAGTTAGATTCATTTCTCACATTGATTTCAAATGTTATACAGGTAACAAAAAAAACAAAAAAAACAAAAACAAAAACACTAACTAACATTAACGTAACATGTAAAAGACAGTTTTCACATGCATAGAATAATGGAATATGAATCTCTGGAATAATTGGTTAACTTTTAATGTTGTACAGCACTTTTCATATCATAGGTTAAAGAAATTAACTGTGCTTTCAGTTTCATATACAAAATATCAACTAGTTAAAATGAGACGCAACTAGTGTTACAAGTGTACTACTTGCAAGACTGCTTGCGACTGCTTTGTACCACTTAATTCCAAGGAGATTCTCGCCATCAAACAGTGAAACCAGCATTTAAATGTAAACAAAGCAACAAATTCCATGCAACGGAAACTACAACTCAAGACATTAAAATAGTCGGAGGTGTTTCAGTCTCAGTGTAGACTTTGTAGAGTTATACTTCAAGTGCACTTTCCATATACATACATACAAGAAAAAAAAAAAAAAAACATTTACACGAAACGTAAAATATTAACATTGTTAATTGTTAGTAACATTTCTATACAAAGTTAATTTTGTGTTGTTGGGCTTTAGGGGTTAGATTAGAGCGGTGCTAGAATCGTTTAGAGAACATCAACTAAAGAACATATAAACACAAACAGTTTGTAGCTTTCGAATTAATCAAATTGTATAACATTTTAAGTAGTTAGTAAATTTTAGTTGGTAATTTTTGTTGGAGAGAAATTTACATGTGAGCGTTTCGAAGCTAGTCTGCGCCTGAGAGGGACTCTGAGCCCGCGTGGGCGAGGGGGTCCACTGTGACTCTATAAAAAGAAAATGTAATCAAATGAACGCAAAAATAATCAAAATAATAAATGCGATAGATGGCCAATGAATTGTTTTTTGTTTTTTTTAAGTGAAAATCCAATCAAAATACCAAATGTGAAATGATGAGGTAACCGAAACAAGAGGCGAGAAAAGAAAATGAAATTAGAGTGCGATTAATAACATTTTAGTTACAATTTTTCATCGTCATCAATAAATATTAATTATATAATAATATAATGGTAAATCTGTCTGTGCGTCTTGCTGCCAAAAGTCGTCCCCCACCACATCAGTAAACAGTCACTGCGGGTGTAAGTCGGTCTGGGGTTAGCCACCATTTTGTTATTAGTTATTGCACCTCTAGTGCCTCTCTAGTTTAGGTGAATTGGTTTTTATGTTCTACACTGTAGAATCTACAGGGATGGAATCATCTTTCGTTGCGACGCAATTGAAGACGTTTTCTCGAGGTGTACATCCGCCCGAGCATCTGTCGAGCAGACCAGACCCAAGCAACCCCCCAATTGGAAACCAACTATTGCGTCGCGACGGTCGTTGACCCAATTTTTGCGCATTTTCAGCTCTTCACGCACGTGTCGCGTTCTGTGTGGAGCTTTTGGAGTGGTCGTAGAACATCAAAAACTTGATTAGTGGGTGCTGTGGGGTATACTGTAGGGGGTGGGGCGGGGCAGCGATGGGGGGAGGGGACTTGTGGCAGCACTTTTTTCAGTCTGGTCTGGGTTTTCAGTCTTTTCTTATTTTGCTTCGGCGACCGCCTGCACTTACGTTGACCGACTGGATACATTTTCTTGCACTAATTTAAGTTTATTTAGGAAAAATAGTTTAATTAATGTATAAAAAGGTTGTTGTTGGCTCGTGTTTGGATGTCTTGTGGTTTGGTGTATATGTAATTGATTGTTGTTGGTGTTGCTTGTTGCTTTTGGTTTCTACTAATTATTCATAGTTTTTTGTTTTGTTTTTTATTTTTTGTTTTAGATTTCAGCCTTTTGCTTATCACACTTTAAAGTAGTTTAAAGTTTTATTCGTTTGGTTGATTCTCCATGTTGTTGTTGTTGTTGCGCGTGGGCGTGGCGTAGGCGTAGTTAATTATAATATATATATATAATTATTTATATATGTATATGTATTGGAATGAGCACAGACTGGCTTTGAAGATCTGTTGGCTCTTTGCTTGCATTAACATTAGTTTATTTATATTATTATTGTGGTTGTTGTTGTAAGTTTAGTATTGGAAAAGAACACAAATGTAGGCACAGCTTTCGTTTAGTTTATATGTACACTTCTATGTACACACATATGCATGTATATATACACTTATATACATATGTGTATCTAATGCTCTTGTAATACAACTAAGAAAAATTCTTCTTTATTCTCGCATATCTCGCTCGTGAGTGTTAGTGTGTGGGTCTGCTGCCAGTGTGTGAAAATTGCTCTGGCCTGGTGCTCCGCTCCTCTATACAGCAAATACAGCAACAAAACGCTTTTGTATGCGTTTAATATGGCAGCAAAAATGTGTGCACGTATAATTCTGATCTGATATTTTCGAGACGTGGTTTTTGTGCACCAAACACGTTCGCGCTGCCCGATCTTATGCACAAAACGTGGCCAGACTATTGAATTTTGATTTTCCACAACTTTTGTTAGCTTTTCACGTCGCGCATTATGCAAAAAATGCAATTTTCTTCAGGTTTTCCCACAGCAGGCCACACACCGTCGTCCACACAAAAATCGTACTCGCGACGTGTGAGCGTGACGCATGCTGTACACTCTTAACCACACTTAAATGAGGGCAAAGCACTCCGGCCGCACAGAACGGGTGCGAGTGGGATGTCGATACGAGTCGTCAGTGCGTTTGCAGTGTATGCAGTTCAGGGTTGCTATCCACCATTCCAGTGCTGTAAAATGCTGCCACCTATTCGATAACTATATACTCGTTATCGCTACTTGGAAGCCAACCAGCTGTTTCTCAGCGTGTATATTACGTCGCTTCGCCCGTAATTGTTTTTAATTCTGTTTTGCAATTCCACTTATTCTTGGAGATGTCGGTGCCATTTAGTGGCACTCTTCGCCGTTCGGGCGGCATTGTCTCGGCCATTGGCAAGCAGCTGAAAAGCATCAACCTGAAAGGCGTGAAGCGCATCACAGTCCAATTCGATCCGTTTGCGGAAAATGTCAAGTCTACCCGGTGAGTGGGAGGGAAAATTGGGAAAAGCGCTTTTCATTTATCGATTATGAAACATGCGCAGTAAGTACGTGGTCGGTCTGGTCTAGTTTCGGTCAGTAAGTGGAAAAATTTTCTCGAAACAAAGGTGCGTGAGGAAAACAAAAAAATGTAAACCAAAGAGTGCAGTGAAGTAGTAAACGAAAACCGAGTACCCCGCCCAGCCAGAGGTTGTGTGAGGCGCATGAAAACTTACCATAGACCTTGCCAATGATGCCCACGGTGGTGTTGATCTGGAGATCGGGAAATGTCAACGGCAGCGTGTGCGTGAGGAGCTGAGCTGGCCCACCAGGAGCCAGCTCGCGCTCCGTTGACATTTTAGTCGGTGTCGGCGTCAGTTTGAGGCGTTGCTGGGCAGCTGAAACGAACGGAAAATTGTACAAAATCGATATACTAATTGCTTTACATCCATCCATCCATCTTTTCCATATTGCAGCGAATTCTTCTTCCTGCTCTCCACACCCAAGGTGGTCCAGACAAATCCCAAGTGCGTGGTCAAGTCGGATATTGTGTGCGACCGTCAGGCGGCTTCGATAAAGTTTGCCCTCATTGATTCGGCACAAGGTAAACCACATCGCACTGTAATTTCATATGTTTTCCCTTTAACTAATGTGCCTCTTTTTCCGTGCAGAACAAGCTCAGGTAAAGGAAATCCGCTTCAACAGCGGCAACCTGAACACCCTAGAGCTACTGGAGCTTTGCAACAAGCACGTCTCCAGCTTGGCCCCACCCGAGGAGGTGACCAATAAGGTACTAACCAAGGCAGAGAAACAGAAGCTGGGCGGCGGCAGCAAGAAGGCGGTAAAGAAGAAGTAGAAACAGAAGACTTTCATCATGGTAAAGAAGCACAAAGGCACCCTGGCTGTCATCGAGCAGATCTACCAGGATATACCAGCATTTTCCGACATCTTCAACGAGGAGAGCTTCTATACGTTCGCCTTTTGCTTCGTCTGTGCCACCATACTGGTGGCCTTTATTCTCTCGCGGTTTATCACCATCAAGCCAGTCGACTTCTGAACTTCTGTTAGTCCAACCGAAATTCTGCACACGTACATTAAACAACTTAAGCTTTAACATGTACAACTCCACTGTATTGTATTTTTGGGACGACTGACTGGGCGAAAGGGCACCTCCAACTGTGTCGGGTTAAAACCGGTTTTGGGCTCTGGCAAACCGGAAAATCATCTGCTCCTGCTGCTGATGTCAGCAGATGTGAAAGAAAAAAAGAGAGATGGAGTTGGAGTCCAGCCAGCCGCCTGCCTGGCAGCAAGAGCTTATAATTCAATAATAATTGGGGCCTCTAGGAAGTCAAGCAGACAGTTTTGCTGTGCACAAAATGCAACAGGCCAGGCAAACAGGAGACAACACTGGGTACAGCTCTGAAAGCTCATATCCTCCAAAATCCAAGACAGCTGTTAAGATAGAGTTCCAGTTAGTTTTCGCAGTCAGTCTCCCCTTTGCTTTTCTTCACTCCCACGCAGGAAACACACACACACATACAAAAAGAACAGTCCAACGAAACGAACATACAGTCGAAGCTTTTGGGGTAAGTTTTAAAATGGCGGGCTCCTCTATCTGTGTGCAGTGTGTGTGTGTGTATCTGTGTCTGCAAAGACTACAGCACAATGCGTAATAAATGAAATTTCTGCATACATAGCGAGCCAAAAATGCAGCAAGACAATCTGTTGGAGTGTGGCAGCAGCTGCAAACCTGGTGAAAGTTTCTTTGGAGCTGAGCTGCCAACTGGTAACCGCAGCACATGAACACCACGCCACAGTCTTTACACTAACTGTTATTAAAAGTAACTGCTAGTCCAGTTGTAACTGTCTCGTCTTACAAGTTCAATGTCAAGCACATAACTGTTTGTCAGCCATATTGGAATTCAAACTCTGCCCTACCGTCCTGGCCCGTCCGTCCCTATGGGGAGTTCGGGTGTATAGTAATTGACTTTTGTCTTTCGATTTACTGACGTAATTTGGTAGCGGGTGGGGAAAGAGAGTGAAAGTAGCTGTTGGCTGGGAGGAAGGGGGGCAAAACAACCCTTCTAAATTGGATGAGACACACATACCAATACAGGTGCGATTTTGGGGGACTGTCCTTCGACACAATACATTTTATAAGTGACAGCATGCACATACTTTCTCTGAGAATATGCATATACATAAGATGTACATAAGAAAGTATATGTTGACCTTTCTACCCAAAACATAAACAGTAACGGAAGAAGCTCTGTTCTCCGAGATATGGGAGCAGGCATACTAGTATTAGTAATACATACTAGTAGTAGCACTAGTGGTCCTGCTCGCACACAAGTGCGCTCTTGAAATCTCCCATAGCATATGCTCAGGCGCCATTTATGTTTATTTTTATGTCCCTGCACATCCATTTTTTTTTGGTGCAAAACGAATCGTGGGCGACCAGAAGTTCCTGCAGCTGTTCTGGAGCACTCGAATAATATCCTCGGAGCGCCCGAATCCCGGATACTATCTAGTGTTGGGTGTGGTGTGGGTGGTTGTTGATGCCGGCACGGGGGCCAATGTTTACTCACCTTATCGCAAAATTGCAGCTGACTTGGAGGGACTTGCTCTTGCTCGCCCCCTATCAGCCAATCAGCGACAAATCGAGTCTAGTTTTCGTTGATGATTTTCTTGTTGGAGACTGTAGCAGCTTATGACTTTTCTCGGAAGGGCACTCATTAAAAAACGTTTAATGGCTCCACTGAATGAATTGCCTTTGGCCTGCTTTTTTTTTTTGCCACTCCGTCAACGATTGACACGTCTTGGCCCTGCTGGATTCAGGCTCTTGGTGCTCCTGCGGCAGTTGGGGTTGGGGGACAACGATTCTTTGGTTAAAAACAAGAAATATATGTATGTAAGTGCAGGAAACACGGTTGCCTGCTGCCGCCGCAACGCAATTTCTTTCGTTGCTGCTGCTGTTGTTGTTGGTGTTGCCAGATCGTTGAACACACACACGCACACACACACGAAGGCAGATACAAACACAGAAACGACAAAATTGCAAATTTTTTAAGCTTTTTTTTTGTTTATTTGACAACACACACTTTTTTCTCGCTACCCATCTATGGTTGTATTGTATTTTTATTCAGTTACTTTTTTTTGCATGCTTTATTCGCGAATAAGAGTGTGTTTGTGAGCGTATGAGTCAAAGGTTGCTGATGTGTTAGTCGCTGTCTTGGCTCTTCTCTCTTTTCTCACTTAGTCGCTGCTTCTCTCTCCCTCTCTAACTATTGTTGTTTTTTGCATTTTGTTATTGCCGCATATACTTTCCAGTCAAGCATTGGAAAAATATACAGACATCCACAAACACTAGCACACCAGCAGCGCACTCACATAAGCACAGAGATTTCTGCAAAATGAAAGCACCAACAAAACGACGCAAAACGAAATGCGAGAAAATAGCACAAATTTGCAAGTAATTACTTGGAATACACGAATATTCGATTGGTAAACGTGTGTTGAAGATTTGTGCTTTTTTTATCGGATGAGATCGTTAAGTTATGTGAGAATCAGGCAAAAGTATAATGAACGCGCGCGCGATTTGCAGCAGATACAACTTATGTGCTGCTTTGCCGTTTTGGAATTGAATAAATATTGTCGTCGAGAGAGAGAAAGAGAGCAGAAGCACAGCACACACACACACACGCGCTGTAGCTGTTGCGTTTGCTGGTGTGCAAATTTATCTGTGTGCCGACTCTAAACTGCCTCAAAACAGTATATGGACTGATGATGTGCTGGGCTGGGGGGCCAGACAGAGACAACCATACAAGCCAAGTACAAGGGAGAATATTTACCCCAACGTTTCATTTTCGCCCCCCACCAAACGACCTTGGCGAGCGTGAAAACATGAGAATGTTCGCATAAATCATATAAATCGAATATTGAAGTTCAGATGCGTGCCATACATACATCTTTAGTCTCTGATATCTGATAGTTAGCTTCTTGCCATGCCAATTTATTCACAACGAAAATACTATTAAAAATGTGCAAAAAAACTATTGGTTTTAAACGCGTTTGATTTTCTTGCGTGGATTAGTGCTTTGCTACACAAGTGAATGCTATTTCTGTTTCTCATCCGGCTTCTCGTCGGTTTTGGCCTTGGCGTTCTCCTCCTTAGTGGCCTCGGGCTCGGCTTTCTTCTCGGTCGCATCCTTCTCCCCACCCATGGTGGTTCCAGCGGGCAGGCTCTTCTCCAGGGCATTCACAAAGTCCTCCAGGTTGCCGGAATAGGCGGCTGCCACTGCATCGTTGGAGAGCTCGAACTGCTTCACCACCGGACCTAGCTGGGCCGATTGCAGGGCATTGGAGAACTGGGCTAGGGCCTGCTGGAACTGTGGGGATGTAATGTGATCCTTAATCTGCTGCTTGCGATCTTCATCCGCATCCTCCGACTCGGGCAGGTGCACAATCAGCGACTTAACGCGCTCCGGATCGGCAATAAGCTGATTGATGGCCTCCGCGCCCGAGAGGGCCGTCGATAGGTCGATGTTCAAAGAACGCCCTGCGCCATGTTCGGGGGAGAGATTGGATAAATACGCTTGGAATGGATTGGCATAGGCTCCAGTCGTTTCTGATGCTGTCGTGGTTGATGTGGTTGAGTTCTTACCGGAGGCATCGGCATCTAGTGACGAGCTGGCACTGCCAGCGGTCTCGCTCTGCGAATTCAGATTGCTACGGCTGCTGCCCGACTTGGAGCCCTTGGGTGCGGTGGGAGTGCGGGGCACAGTGATGTTCTCGGGCGTTTGCAGCGCCGAGGCGCCTCCCGACGATGAGGTGTTACGGGAAGACGGTGTACGTGAGCTTTGTGGGTAGAAGAGAAGGGTGCTATCATATGGAAACAGCAAGCAAGCAGCAATAAATACTCACTTCATTTGGCCCAGCAGAGAGCTCAGCCCTCCCATTTGGCCCACACCGCCAAAGAGCTGCATCAGCTGCTGCTGCGACATGTTGTTCAGCATGTACTGCAGATCGCCGTCATTGCTGCCTCCTCCGCCGCCACGCTGATGGGCAGAGGGAGGATTATTAAGCAGCTCGTTAATACGACGGCAGTGCTCCTCGTCCTTGTCGGTCTTCGGCTCTTGCATCCAGAAGAACATGCGGCGCGTCGAAGACTTGAACTTGAGCACATAAACGCGTCCGGTTTTGCACTGCTCTACGCGCTTGTACTCAAAGTCATCGGGAAAGACAATCAAATCATCCTCGACCTTGCCGGAGGTGCGATCCTTCCAGCAGAAGTGCATCAATCCGTCGTCGGATTGGGTCATGTACACCGAACCCTTGCGTGAATCGGGGTGTACCATTTTGCCCACCATGTTCATGCGTCCGGCACGAAACTCCACCAAATTGCTGCTGTTGCTGGAACTGCCAAGTCCACTCTGTCTGCCAAACATGATGCGGGAGCTTCTCGAGAGCTGCAATGGACATTCAATTAGGTCGGGTCGAACTAATATTCAATTAAATGCTGATTCATGGCCCTATATATATTGCGCTTTGTCAGCCACACCATTGCTTCATCGCGCCAAAGTTACATTTTTAGATTTTCTGTACTAAAATATTTCTTTTCAACATACTTACGGGATATATATTGTGATAAAATTACTTAATTTGTGAAAAAAATTCAGTTCAATGACGAGCAATAATGATTGGGCAGCAGTGTGACCGTGGATTTATCGCTAAAATATACCGCCTGACCCTCCAAAATATATCGAAATACACCTTGCCCTTGTCGTAATATACCAAAAATATACTGACGACGTGACCGCGCTTGCAATAACGATAAAAATACCATCCAGCAATAAAATACCATTAAATACCATTTCAGTTTCGAGAAATACCATTTAAGTACCATACCATAAAAAAGCCAGGGCAATACGGTGATCAAACGAGACTTAGCCCACTTAACACCCCTCTATTTAAAAAGTTGAGCACCCTTTGTTAAACCGCGGAAAATAATATTGCTTGTAAAGGCTCCTTGTAGCTCCATCCTCCTCTTTACTTACAAAAGAAAAATGACCACCGACATGTTTCATAAAGTTACATAAATTTCGTGTAAATATTAAATACCGTTCTATTTTATTGATTTAAATCGTATTCCATAATTTTGATATACAGAGCAATCCTTTTTTCTAAGGGCGATAGGATAGGTAACCAGAATATAGCCAAACGTTTGAACGATTCATTCTTTCTTTTCATCCTTTCATTTTTTTGTGGTACCTGCACACCCTGTATAAGCATATGAGATGCACAACTGCAACCAACAGAAACATGGTGTCAATATAAATCTGCCGATCCACTGTCAATGTGACACTTACTTGGTAAAATTATCGAGCAAATACAAACCCATGGCCAAACATGGCTCAAGCTTTTCCCGATTGTGAACAAAATTGTAATATCCTGCGAAGCAGAACCATTGATGAATGAAATCAGAAAATCTGAGAACTTTTACTCACCAAGCACAATCCTAAAAGAATGAATACACCCGACAACAAGGGCATAAAAAGAAGTATAAGAAATATAACAAATAACACAACTCTCGTGTCGTTTCTAACTTCTCTCCCAAAGTTAAACAATTTTTTTTCTGGCTTGGACAATTCATTGACCAACATGAAACTTGTTGACACTATACCGAAGATACCAATGATTAAGTTCCATATTCCAAAGAATGTACACCACGTTTTATCGCTCCAGCAATCGAATGACTTGCAATTGAAAACCAAACACATTTTAAACTGGAAATTTAAGTTCGAAAAATGCAGAGAAAAATACAAACATTAAACATGAAAATTTAGTTTACTTTTAGGAAGGCTGGCTGAGGTCTGTTGAACGATGAATTATTATATTCCATATGCCTGAACGTACATGTTTCTGAACGTTCACTATGATATATGTAAAATTGATAGGATTTCAAGAAGCTCAAGGAAAATATATTTGGATATTTGTGTGCCGAGCTGTAATGTTTGCATGAGATATCATCTTCGCTACGTAGTTGATGTAGTATGGAAGAGGATAAAGGATTAGTTTTATATTATATGCCATCCACATGTACGCATGTGCACATACGCATGTATGTACCGATGATGATGATGTTCTTCAATAGCTTCCTTCCCCCTTTGCTGCACGCTCTGTTGTCGCCGTAGTAGTACGTATGTATGTATATGTTTAATTAATTACTCACACAATTTAGTAATGTTGCTAATTATTTATATATGTAAATAGAATCTATATTATAGATGTATTATATATTAGTATTTTTTCGTTTTATAACTTCTTTTCGCAATGAAAATATGGCATGAGAGCTGGATGAATATGGGTTGATTAACAATTAAACAAGCATTGCAGCTACTTTGGGGGCTGAGTCATTAACATATCCTGCAGGATTCCGTTTCAATTGTAAACTTAACAATGAATCCCCAATAGGATTAATTAAAACAAACCGCTGATTTATCAATCAAAAATACCGTCTGACCCTCAGAAATATACCGTCTCGTTTCCAAAATATACCGTTATATACATAAAATGAGAAGGAAACAGTATATATTTCTCGATCGCGGTCACACTGACTCTAAGTCAAAATGAGGTTTTTTTCCGGCTTTATTTTAATTTTATCAATTAAATTAATTAACGAAATAAACGCCAATGAAGTTGTTGGCTGTGGCGGCTTTATTAAGAGCCATGCCGATATTGACTTTTCCAAAGTAGAGATCAAACTGTAAGTGCCCAAAAGACGTCATGGCTCCGCTGATAAGATTGTGCGCATGGTGTGGAGCTGGCACTAATTAAGTAATAAATTAACGCTCACCCGCCATATTTTTTCACCCTCTGACACCGCAGACTGACCAAACAGGGCTCGCTGAAGGATAAGACTGATTGCTCGCCCTCAAATGGTTACTATTTCCTGCCCATTTATGATAAGGGCGACTACCTGCTGAGCATATCCCCGCCGCCCGGCTGGAGCTTCGAGCCGGAGCACGTTGAACTGCATTTCGATGGCACGAATGACGTGTGCAGTCAGGGCAAAGACGTCAACTTTGTGTTTAAGGGATTCGGCATAACCGGCAAAGTGGGCCTGGCCACTGGCGGCGGAGCACGTGATGTGGATGTCCAACTGCAGTCGGAGCAGGGGGAAGTGAGACGGACAAAGACCGACAACAATGGCATCTTCTCGTTCACACCCATCATCCCTGGAAAATATGTGATCAAGGCCACGCACTCAAAGTGGCACTTCTCCAAGGCGGAGCATGACGTGGTGGTTGTCAGTGGCAACACAGAGCTGCCGGAAAACTCACTGGTGGTCTCTGGTTTCGATATCAATGGCCGCTTTGATACGAGCGCCCAGCTGCCCGGCAGCTTGGCCGTGGCTTTGTACAAAAAAAAGGGAGTAAGTCTTGCACATGAAGCCTAACCAATTAATTAATGTGATCCTTGTAACCCGCAGCAAACTCTGGTGCCAAAATGCGACAAGTCCTCAAACGCAGCCCCTAATAGTGGAAGGAGCGAGTTCGAGTCTGCCGCCTCTTGCTACACCCTGATTGAGAAATCGGGCGAATATACATTCAAGAACGTGCCCTCTGGCAAATACCTGTTGCAGGCCATCAACGAGAACACCAAGCTAAAGCTGCACCTCAGCCCCGATTTCCTGGAGGTGGAGGTGGGCAAGGATACGCTGCAGCTGAAGGAGGAGTTCAAGATAACTGGCTTCACCATCTCGGGTCGCGTTCTCGGCTCAGTCGGTGGCGCGCCCCTCAAGTCGGCCATTGTGAAGTTGAACGGCAAAAAGGTGGCCGAAACAGATGCCCAGGGCAGTTACACGCTGCAGAACATCAAGGCGGGGACCATCAACATAGAAGTTGAATCGCCACAGCTGCAGTTTGCTCCCCTGCAAGCCAAGGCCCAGATAAACACGGCTGAGCTGCCGACGATTGTGCCCGCCGCTTATGAAGTGTGCGGCAAAGTAGTGTCCACGAATTCCTATGCAGTGGGTCTGACGAAGCTCGGCTCCACCTTCCACACGACGACCAAGACACAGCCGGGAAGCGGTAGCTGGTGTGTCTACCTTCCTGTCGGTAAGTTCAGCATTGAGGTGCTCACCACCGATGCGGACAAGGCCAGTGGCGTTCAATTCTTCCCCGTGCAGCAGCAGACCGTGGTCCAGGGTGAGCCAATCAATGGCATCACCTTCTCACAGCTTCGTGCCAAAATTCGGGGAGAGCTGCAGTGTCTGCCAGACGCCACGGGCACCTGCACCGGTGCCGAGGTAACGCTCCAGGCTCTCGACGCCACCGGCCAGCCAACGTTGAACAAATGGAAAGCCAAGGCTCATCGTAAGTGTGAGGACTGTGTGGTTCTGTAACTCTGCTAACTGTTGTGGGTGTACATGCAGGTGGAAAATTTGTGTTCAAGGACATGCTGCCCGGCCCGTATGAGCTGACGATACCCCAAGGAAATCTGTGCTATGAATCGACTCGCGTCTTCCTGAACGTTGCATCCGCCGAGGAGGATGCACCGCCCTTCATTCACAAGGGCTACGAGGTCTCCATCATCTCCAGCCATCGAGCATTGGTTAGTGATGATGTGACAAGCTATTTACCCTAAAAGTAAGCTAATCGTCGCGTCCATTCTACCCTTTTCAGATGAGGTATACGCACATTACGGGACCCACGGATGCAAAGCCCCCAACGGAAACGCTGAAGATACTGTCCGGCGTGAACACCTTCTGTGTGTCGAAGTATGGCAGCTATGACTTCAAGCTTGAGGGCTGCCACACCTACGATCAATCGTTGCCCTCAAAGTTTATCACCCCGGAGCCAGAACAACTGCAGACGCTGATCATCAATGCGGTTGCCCACAAGACTGGCGTACGCGTGCTATCCGAGGAGCCAACGGCCGACGCCATCAAGCTGCTTCTCGAATCCGAGAAACTGGGCAAAGAGACCATCACGCCCACGGCCGAGTCGCACAAGGTGGATGGCAAGTACGCCTACCGCTACGACACCTATCTGAGGCCCGAGGAAGTCCTCCATATAACACCCGTGAGCGATGTGATGCTATTTGAGCCACAGCACCAGGATATTGTGGGCGGCAGCGATTGCGTGGACATTGCTTTCAACTTTGTGGCTACGAGGGGTCTGATATTGCGCGGCAAGGTGGTGCCGGCGATTAAGAATGCCAAGATAACCCTGTCCTTCCCCGACCATCCCACACTGAAGGAAATCGAGACACTGACGGCCGTCACTGGCGAGTTCAAGTTTAATCCCATCGATGCGGGCATGACCTTCGATCTGAAGGCGGAGAAGGAGTCGTATGTGTTCAGCGAATACAATCGCCAGTCGGCATCGTTCAGTGCCCACAAGCTGTGCGAGATTTCCGTTATTGTGAAGGACGAGGCGGGCCAGCTCTTGGGCGGTGTCCTGCTGTCGCTGAGCGGCGGTGAGAGCTACCGCAAGAACCTGGTCACTGGCGATGATGGTGCCATCAACTTTCACTCGCTGTCGCCCTCGCAATACTATCTGCGGCCCATGATGAAGGAGTACAAGTTCGAGCCGAACTCCAAGATGATCGACATAAAGGACGGGGAGACCAGCCAAGTCACCCTCATGTAAGTTCTTCTTGTATCCAGCTTCTATTCCATGCCTAACTGATCCACAATGTTCTTGATCCACAGTGGCAAGCGCTTTGCCTACTCGATCTTTGGCACCATTACCTCGTTGAATGGCGAATCCTTTGCCGGGGTCAATGTCAAGGCCACCGCCGACGAGAGCTGTCAGCGCCAGCAGGAGGAGGCCACCAGTGAGCCGAATGGCCAGTATCGCATCCGTGGACTTCAGCCTGGCTGCAAGTACACAGTAGTCGTGGTGCCGGACAACGACAGAGTGGATCGATCTCTGCCCAACGAGCAAGAGGTCAGCGTGGGCCACGAAGACGTGCGCGACATCAATCTGGTGGTCATGAGTCCTCTGAAGATTGTCGATATCACGGCCCGTGTGACGGCCACTCTCAACGAGCACTACAAGACCCTGCGCATTGTAATGTACCGTCGTGGCAACTCCGACTCGCCGGTGTTCTCGCAACGCGTGGGCACGCCAGTGAGTCCCAAGGCCCGACTGAACCCAGGCATTACAATCTTCTTCCCGCGCATTCCCCTCGACGGCAAGGGCTATGTTGTGGAGCTGCAGTCGACGCTGTCGGATAAGACATACACCTATAAGCTGCCATCGTCCACCTTCGTGGCCGACAGGGGCTCGGTGTTCATTCAGCTGGACTTTAAGCCCGAGGTGCGAGCAGCCGAGGCAGATCTCAATCAGAACTCGATCTCTGCGCTGGTGCTCATTGCGCTCGTGGCGATTGCCTTCTTCAAGCAGGATCTGGCCACCACCTTCCTCACCTTTGTGTGGGGCAAGCTCAACGATCTGGCGTCCGATCTCTCCCAGCGGCAGAAGAGCAAGACTCAAGTGCGCAAGAACGAGCCGATCAACCAGCGAGAGATCGAACAAATGGCCGAGCAGATAAATGCCATCAAAAAGAAAAAGACAAAGAAGATTTAGTCCTGATTGTTGCGTCGTTAGCGTCCTTAGCTGCGTTAGCTTCTCCCCTTAGTCGATCATCATCAATTTAGTCACACTTCACGGTATTCATTTGGTTTTGTGTTCTCTTCTGCCCCTGTGTAACCCTTAACTCAAGGAGATTTCTAGTTCAGTTCTGTTTTCATGGATGAGGCAAGTTTATTTGTGTGTTTCCATACTGGGCACGTTCTTCACTCTTATAGCTAAAATAAATAAATACAATAAATAGATTAATTGAACACATCGAGCTCCTTCCTACTGCATCAGAATGTGCTCGGCAATGGGGCTCAGCATGCGATCGCCGCGGCGGTTGCGCAGCTTGGCATTACGCCGCTCAGCCTGCAGATTGATCTCGTTCTGAGAGTCCAAGCTGCTGGCCTCCACCTCCTCGGTGGCCGTCTGCTCCTCTTCCTGCTGGCTCTCTTCCTGCTGGCCCTCGGCCTCTGTAGTCTCGCCAGTCTCGACGAATATGCACTCTGGATTCACGGCCGCGCATTCGCCGAAGCTATTGGCCCTGGCCTGGGGATTGCGCGAGTTGGTATACTTCTCGAAGAAGCCGCGTCCCACAATGCGGAAGGCCATGCTGGTCAAGGGGTTCAGCTTGGAGCGGAACTCCATTTCGCAGACGAAGCGACGGCGGCAGGCCTTGGAGTCGAGGCCCAAGAAGGCAAACATAAAGTCCGCAATTCTGATGGGAGTTTACCATATTTAATTCCAAATCTAAAAGCATCTTCTCATCCTCTATACTCACTGCTCTTCAGTGGCCATTTGACGGGCCACACTCTCGGATATCTCCTCGTCCACAATCTCGACCTGATCCTGATCCTGCTCCTGCTCATCATCCTCGATCTCGATCTCTGGCTGCCCATCAGCACTGCGCCTACCACGACGACGCACATCGGCAGGAGCCGTTGGAGATTCGTTATGATAGTCGCTATGGACATCAGAGACTATGTCCGAGCCGGCGTAGCTGCTGTAACCGGAGTAGGGCTCAAAGCTGGGTCCAGAGCTGGAGTCATAGGATGTCGGCGAATCGTATGAATGCTCTGAATGATCGTGATCGAGGGAGTAGGGAATATGATCGTGATGACTGAACGATGGAGGACTAAATCAAAGAATTATGGAATTAATTATGCGACCGACTCTCCCCTAAATGATGATTGACTCACGGATGATCCAGGATGATCTCCTGGTTGCATCTATTGGGACTATGGGGCAAGAAGTAGCGCAGACCCAAGTAAATGGCGCCTCCAACGAAGAACGAAACGATCACCACTTTCACCTTGATAAAGTAGGCAATGGCAATGGGCCAGATATGGCGATCTACAAGAAGAAGAAATTAAATAATACTCGTAGATAAAAGTTTCCCATTGCATCCATTGTAGAAGTTCTACAATTGAATGGGTGGGAGCAGGGAGGAACGTGGAACTACGTGATCTACGACAATCTATTAAACAATATCTGTGCCCCGATTGAAAGTGAAAAGTGTTAATTGAACGGAACGGAACGGACCGATTCGTGATCGTCCAATTGGGAGAGATGCGTCTGGGTTTGGTTTTTGGGATGTGGGAAAACTTTCCAAAGAAAGTGTCAAATTGGCAGTGTTCATGTGTACACGCCGCATTATGATTATATGCTGGTCCCCAAGTGATCAGAATCGTAACTCGTTTGTGCTAATTTTTAAATAAATCACATCTGGATCTCTCGATTGGATAACCATAACATAACATAACCACCGCACTCAACTTACAAAACGAGTGCAGACGATGCCGACGGGTGCGTCCCTCGAATGCCATCAGTTCCCGGCCCAGGCTCTCCCAGCTCTCCGTTTCGTTATCCAAGGCAGCCGGCAAGGCAGGGTCAGCACTAGCACTTTCCTCCGTTTCCTCGCAGAATACCAGAGTGAGGTAGAGCACAAGCAGCACAGCTGCATACACAATTAAGTTCTTCTGCATGATGATAGATAGACTTTGTAGATGTGGGTGGAGTGGGCAAGCTTATATCCTTTTGAGCTTTTTGTATGTCACTGGCACTGGCTGCTGTTGCTGCAGAACTGAATACAATACTGAATGATGCACCTCGGCTGGGGGTTGGGCGTTTATATACCACAACACCGGTAGTGAGACGATCGGCGATCGGCTCCTAGTTCGGGGTGATAATTGATAGTGCCTTGTTGTTGTGAATGTGGATTTAAGCAAAGAGTTTAACACATGCGTAGACAGTGATGACGAACTGGAAGCGATGCCTTTTTTAATGCTTGAAGCATGCATTTGAATCTCTAACGAAATTTCTTTAAACTGGTGCAATTTCACTTTCTTGAATCGTGCTCAATTTTCTAACTGTTTTTGTTTTTGCTTGAATTAGTAGCTATTACGAAACTACAATGTGGCTTTTAATTATTCAACATGCGGTAAAAAAGTGGCAAACTTCAAAGAACACATTTCAAAAATCATTTTATTGGCGCGCAAATTCTGTACGTCCCTGGACCACGAAATTACAAATAAATAACAAATGACAGTACGAGTAAGCAGTTTTATCAGATGATAAGGATATACGGTGATGTTATGTTGTTACCATAATTTCTGATTGGCACTCCAACAAGATCCTTTTCAATGGGCGAAATTGTCCGGTAAATTTTCTGGGGCCGGTAGCTTACGGCCTTCCTCAAGGAAGAAACAGTAAAGGGGATATGAAGAAATGTTTGTCATCCATATAATGATCGATTCTATGATCTGTATTTGTATTGTGAGTATGTGTGTATGTATTATGTATTATGAGTATGTACTCATAACACTCATATCTATTCGAAAATTGTCACTAAATTTTAAATCCATCTCATTTCATTTACCATGTAAAAAATAAAGATTTTTATTGAGCTTTTTTGATTAAACCTTATTTTATAAGTAATCCAACAAATGGGAGTCCTTAAAATGAACCAAATTGTAGAAAATTGATTCATCAATTTGTTGAAATTATATGCTCAGTTGTTAAAGTCCTAACTGGCTAATAATACTAAATCGAATATCAAAATTGATGAATATGTATGTTTTCCTCGGTATGTTTACGGTATGTTTTGAAAATGAGGCGGTATATTTCGGGTCCGCGGTCACACTAATAATCCTTGTCCGAATGCCGGTTTATACTTGTTTTGGTTTTTATGATAATGTCGTCCAGCTTGAAATCAAATGAAGTGGAGGCCAACCCGGCCCCCGATCCCCAGGCGCCCATCACACGCAAGGGATTTCTTATATCGCTGAAGAACAGTGGAACCCCCATGCCGATACCAGAACAAAATTTGGTAAGTTTTCCAGGCCAAAGAAATATTTTGTACTGTACTGTAAATTTGTGTTTAACATACTTCTATATTTAGTATGGACGCTGCCGACCCGTGGCCGAATTCGAGAAGCTAAACCGCGTGGGAGAAGGCAGCTATGGCATTGTTTGTAAGTCAGCCGGCGAATCGGAACCGCATCAAACCGAATTAACCAACATGATTTCTCCCAGATCGAGCTCGTGACACTCGGAACAACGAAGTTGTGGCCCTGAAGAAGGTGCGCATGGACCAGGAGAAGGATGGCCTGCCGGTGAGCGGATTGCGTGAAATAATGATACTAAAGCAACTGAAGCACGAAAACATCGTTCGGCTGCGTGAGGTTGTTGTGGGCAAGAGCCTGGACAGCATATTCCTGGTCATGGATTTCTGTGAACAAGACCTGGCCTCCGTGCTGGACAACATGGCCCAGCCGTTCACCGAGTCTGAGGTCAAGTGTATTACGTTGCAGGTACTGCGCGCCCTAAAATATATTCACGATCGGTATATAATCCATCGCGATTTGAAAGTCTCCAACCTGCTGATGACGGACGATGGGTGCATCAAATTGGGCAAGTATTCCGAGCGGCATTTGTACTTTGCCAGCTAATTCGCTTATTCCTTACTCCGCCTGCAGCTGACTTTGGCTTGGCGCGTATGTTCAGCAATCCCCCCAAGCCAATGACCCCGCAAATGGTGACCCTGTGGTATCGCGCCCCGGAGCTACTACTCGGATGCAAAACACACACCACAGCCGTGGACATGTGGTCGTTTGGCTGCATACTCGGCGAGTTGCTGCTGGGAAAACCGATGCTTCCTGGTAGCTCCGAGATAGCCCAGCTGGATATGATTATTGATCTGCTGGGTGCGCCATCAGAGTCCATCTGGCCAGGATTCTCAGAGCTACCGGCCGTGCAGAACTTCACATTGAGCCAGCAGCCGTACAACAATCTGAAAACCAAATTCAACGCAATCGCCCAGGCGGGCAGAAATCTCCTCAACATATTATTCATCTACAACCCCAATACACGAGCCACAGCCGAGGAGTGTTTGAACAGCAAGTACTTCATTGATCCGCCACAGGGTAAGCATATTTGCGTCATTCGCCTAATTGAGACCCGTCTCAGACTTAGTTCTCTCCACTTGCAGCCTGTGACCCACGCATGATGCCCACATTTCCGCAGCACCGCAACAATGCAGCCACGCAGCAGGCGCAGACGTCGACAGACATTCCCATTTCCGATTTGTTAAATGTTTTCATAAAGAGACAGCGCATGGATTAAAACGTAAACGAATTTATTATGTAATGGACCCAGTTTACAGGTATGGCCTATCCATGGGCGTCTTCTTGGCCTTCTTGTCGCGCGCACGGGGGAACCAACGGTGCTTTGTGGTGTGAGTCAATTTCGACAGCTCGTGGCGTGACACTTCGGGATGCTTCCTCACAAACGCCTGCATCGCCGTCTTCAGTGCACTTTCCTTGATTACCGCAGAGGTTTGCGTCTCGACAACTTTGGGCAGCGGCTTTGAGTGTTCGTAGGGAAAGGCCGTTTCTGCATGCCAGGCAACTATTGTTTTGCCATTTTTGGTAACAGCCACGCCATCCACCAGACTTTTGCCTCCAATGGCATTGCAATTCACGGCATTTTTAGAAAATAAACGAAAACTTGTATATAAACGTGCCGCCGACATTTTCCCAACAGTGTGGCCGCGGATTGAACGACAAAATATACCGTCTGACGCTCAAAAATATACCTAAATATAACTTCTTTACATTAGCAAGCAGTGCGCTTGCCATTCGATTACAGTAGGCTGGGTGGGCGCAGCTATCGCACTTGAACTTTGGAGAGAATACAGAGAGACACAATATGAACACAATGTGGATATTTTACGCATTCCTGATCCACGTACTTCTCCTGGGCTCGATACTTGTGATCAACTTTCGTTCGACTGTCATCAAGGGCCTACAGCCACAGACACCACCCTTTGCATACGTCTTGGAAGCTCCGGCGAGTCGGTTGGTCCTGTTTGCTACTGACGGACTGCGTGCCGCTTCGTTTTTCGAAGACAACTGCCGCCATGTGCCGCACTTGCGGGAGATATTCATGCGCGAGGGCTTGGTTGGAATATCGCGCACCCGAGCCCCCACCGAGTCTCGACCGGGACACATAGCCCTGCTAGCGGGCTTCTACGAGGATCCATCGGCAGTTTTCACAGGCTGGAAAGGGAATCCCATTGACTTTGACTCGGTGCTCAATCGCAGTGGTCACAGCTTCTCCTGGGGATGTCCGAACATAATGGGCGTATTTGAGAGGGTGACCAAGGGCAGAGGCGACGTGCTCTTCCATTCCTTCAATGACTCCGTGTACGAATCGGCAAGATTTGCCACCTACAAACTGGACGAATGGGTGTTTAGCCAAGTCAGCGGCGTCCTTGATCTCATGAAAAACAACTGGAGCAGCTCCAGCCCGGTTGTGTTCTTCCTGCACTTGATGGGCTCCGATCGGGCCGGACATGTCCACAAGCCAGCAACGATCCTCTTCCACAAAAGCCTTAACATTACGGATCATGGCATTTGGGAGATGTACCAGAAATTCGAGGAAACCTTCCCCGATAAGAAAACAGTTTACTTGCTGACCTCCGACCATGGCATGACAGACTCAGGTTTGAGATCCACAAAGAGAAACCCATTTATTCGACTACCATTAAAGCATTATACCATCTAGGCATCCATGGTGCTGGCACGCCGCATGAAACCGAAACACCCTTCATGCTCTGGGGCGCAGGCGTTTCCCGTATCGCTTCCACCGTGGGAGCCCGCAAATTTGTAGCCAACGATGAGGGTCTCCAGTTGCCGTTGCATGAGCTCGAGCAGGCACAGCTGACACCACTGATGTCCGCGCTGATTGGCCTGCCTCCTCCGATGAACAACTTTGGGGTACTGCCCACCGGTTACATGGCTGTGAGTGAGGAGTACCAGGCCATGGCTGCTCACAGCAATGCGCTCCAGTTGTTGGCGCAATACGAGAAGCTGCTGGAGCAGCACAGGCAGGGACTCTTTGCTGACTTACTGAACAACTTCGATGAGCTGTCGCCGGCAGAAATCAATACGTACAAGCAGCTGGTAGTCAAGCTGCACACGGAAAAGGCCTATGCGAAATCTTTGGCCAGGAGCAATGTCGTCATGGAGCTAACTCTGAAGGGAATAGACTACTATCACGGCTACTATCGCAATTGCCTACTGCTAAGCACTACGGCCACCTTCCTCGGTTGGATATTCTACCTGTATCGACTGCTGTCCAGGAACGTGGCGGGAAGACTTCAGATAATGCTCGAAAGGCAGGAAAAGGTGTACGGAGTAACATTGGATGTCTCCATGTTCCTGTTGCTGTTCTTTTTGGTGGCCCAGCGAGCACCGATAGCCATTGCATTCTACTTGTTGCTCCCGTTGCCTGTATGGATGCTGGCACTGAAGCCCAAGGCGTGCGGATCCTCCTCCGCAGCTGTCCCGACCAGTCAGCCTGGAGCCCCTGCACGGCTGACTTCGGCGTCGCAACTTTTACTGATTACTGTATGCGCTGAGCTGATGGTGTTCACCTTCTTCGAGCGTCGTCTGATCTCGGTGTGTTTTGTTGCCTTTGGATGCTACAACAATTGGAGAAACTTCGTGCCCAATTCCCGGGAATTCTACTCCTGGCTGGCGCTGGTCGTCATCCTAGCGTGTTTCCCTTTGCTGCCGCTGTCAGACGGCTACCAGAACTGGTATCTTTTTCTGGCTGGCATTGTGCTAGTTCCTCTCAAAGCATTTTGGTCCAAGAAGCGGCGCTTCGGCTACAGCTATCACACCAAGTACTGCAATGCTCTGATCCTGTTGAATACCGTCATCTGTGCGTATCTGGACTCGGAGGAATACGAAATACCCATCTTGCTATACCTAGCCAGCTGGTTTTTCTTGATCTACGCCTTTGTCTCCGTTCTGATGAACAAGGAGTCCAATCTGGAGGTGCGTCTGGCGCAGATCTGCTTCAATCTGGGATCTCTACATGCTCTGCTTTCCACCTCATACGAGTCCGCCTTCGTGCAGTTGCTCACCTTGGAACTGAGCCTATCCCTTGGCGCTGTGAACGTGAACTCGGACAAATCTGTTCTACGCGTGGCCTTCAGTATTCTCCTCTACACAATATTCTCCTTCTTTGGCATGGAAACGATCAAATCGGTCAAACTGTTTGATTCCAACAGTGGACGCTGCTTCCTGGGGCAATATGCGCCATTCATTACCATGGGTCTGGTTCTGGTGAAGCACTCCCTGCCGGTGCTGATGAGCCTGTCAATTTTCTATACGCACTGCGAGTATGCCCGTGTGAGGGAGCGGAAAATCTTCATCTGCATATTGATAATTTCCAACATAATGGGACTAAACTTCCTGTTCCTGGTGCGCAATAAGGGATCCTGGTTGGACATCGGCTCGTCCATATCGCATTTTGTCATCATGGGCTTGATTACTCTGGTGCTTCTTCTGCTGAGTTGGACTGCCAAGCTGCTGCTGGGTCTGATTGCAATCGTCTACGGGCTAACCTGGGCTGATCGTTAAATGTCTCGTTAATTGTCTCCATAAAATCGGCACGGCACCGATTGAAATGTATCGAAAAATACACTAGCTCGTTGTATCGTATCGCATTGGATACTTGGATTTATTACTCAACACTGGGCGCTAACAGCTGATTTTTGTTTATGAATTAAAATTGTAAAACAGAATGTGGATTGTTTACGCCTTGGTGGTCCATGTACTGCTTCTGGGCTCGATTTTTGTGATATACTTTCGATCCCCCGTTATCAATGATCTGAAGCCACAGACACCATTTATTGGATACGGATTGGAAGCCCCGGCGAATCGTTTGGTTCTGATTGTCACTGACGGACTGCGCGCCGCTTCGTTTTTCGAAGACAACTGCCGGCATGTTCCGCACTTGCGGAAGATATTCATGCGCGAGGGCTTGGTTGGAATCTCTCGCACGCGTGTGCCCACCGAGTCTCGACCGGGACACATAGCATTGATTGCCGGTCTCTACGAGGATCCATCGGCAGTGCTAAAGGGCTGGAAGGAGAATCCCATTGACTTTGACACTGTGCTCAATCGCAGTGGTCACAGCTATTCCTGGGGAGCTCCAGACATTCTAAACATATTTCAAAAGCTGACCAAGGAGAACGACCCCCGAATGTACTTCGATGCATACTCCCACGATATGGACTTCTCGGGAAAGTACAAAACCTACAAGCTGGACGAGTGGGTGTTCCGGCAGGTGCGCTTTCTCCTTAACCGAAAGAAGGATGAGTTGCCCAAATTCCACCCGGTTGTTTTTTTCATGCACTTGCTGGGCCTCGACACGGCCGGTCACGTCCACAAGCCAGGGACAACGCTTTTCCTAGAAAATCTAAACTTTACGGAGCATGGCATCTGGCAGATGTACCACGAATTTGAGAGCGTCTTTCCTGATAAGAAAACAGTCTACTTGCTGACCTCCGACCACGGCATGACTGACTCAGGTTTGCAGCCTAAATCACATTCATTTACACATTTTATGGTATTGTTCACTTCTAGGCTCCCATGGGTCTGGAGCCCCACATGAAACCGAAACACCCTTCATGCTCTGGGGCGCAGGAGTTTCTCGTATCGCTTCCACCGTGGGAGCCCGCAAATTTGTAGCCAACGATGAGGGTCTCCAGTTGCCGTTGCATGAGCTCGAGCAGGCACAGCTGACACCACTGATGTCCGCGCTGATTGGCCTGCCTCCCCCGATGAACAACTTTGGGGTACTGCCCACCGGTTACATGGCTGTGAGTGAGGAGTACCAGGCCATGGCTGCTCACAGCAATGCGCTCCAGTTGTTGGCGCAATACGAGAAGCTGCTGGAGCAGCACAGGCAGGGACTCTTTGCTGACTTACTGAACAACTTCGATGAGCTGTCGCCGGCAGAAATCAATACGTACAAGCAGCTGGTAGTCAAGCTGCACACGGAAAAGGCCTATGCGAAATCTTTGGCCAGGAGCAATGTCGTCATGGAGCTAACTCTGAAGGGAATAGACTACTATCACGGCTACTATCGCAATTGCCTACTGCTAAGCACTACGGCCACCTTCCTCGGTTGGATATTCTACCTGTATCGACTGCTGTCCAGGAACGTGGCGGGAAGACTTCAGATAATGCTCGAAAGGCAGGAAAAGGTGTCCAGAGTAACATTGGATGTCTCCATGTTCTTGCTGCTGTTCTTTTTGGTGGCCCAGCGAGCACCGATAGCCATTGCATTCTACTTGTTGCTCCCGTTGCCTGTATGGATGCTGGCACTGAATCCCAAGGCGTGCGGATCCTCCTCCGCAGCTGTCCCGACCAGTCAGCCTGGAGCCCCTGCACGGCTGACTTCGGCGTCGCAACTTTTACTGATTACTGTATGTGCTGAGCTGATGGTGTTCACCTTCTTCGAGCGTCGTCTGATCTCGGTGTGTTTTGTTGCCTTTGGATGCTACAACAATTGGAGAAACTTCGTGCCCAATTCCCGGGAATTCTACTCCTGGCTGGCGCTGGTCATTGTCCTTGGCTGTTTCCCCCTTCTGCCGCCGTCAGTGGGCTACCAGAACTGGTATCTTTTTCTGGCTGGCATTGTGCTCATACTCGTGAATGCTTTGTGGTCCAAGGAGCGACGCCTCATGTTCACGAAGCACACCAAATACTGCAACGCTCTGATCCTGCTGAACACCATCATCTGTGTGCATCTGCACTCAAACCAAATTGGCGTTCCCATTGCACTTCACCTGGTTAGTTGGTCGTTCCTTATCTACGCCTTTGCCTCCATTCTATTCAACAGTGAGGCGAAACTGGAGGTGCGTCTGGCTCAGATCTGCTTCAATCTGGGCTCACTCTATGCTCTGCTTTGCACCTCATACGAATCCGTTTTTGTGCAGCTGCTCACCATGGAGCTGAGCCTATCACTTGCCCAGAGTTCCCGCAGCTCAGAGAAATCGGTTCTGCGCCTGGCATTTACCATTCTACTGTATACATTCTTTTCGCTCTTCGGCAGCGGAAACATTGCGTCGATCAGTTCGTTTGATCCCAACATAGCGCGTTGCTTTCTGAGCAACTTCTTGCCATTCATCATCATGGGACTGGTGCTGCTGAAGCTGCTCTTGCCGGTGGTGCTGAACTTGACCATTGTCTATACCCACTGCGAGTGTGCGCGTGAGCAGGAGCAGAGAATCTTCATCTGTCTGCTGATAATTTGCGACATAATGGGTCTAAACTTTCTGTTTCTGGTGCGCAATCAGGGCTCCTGGTTGGACATCGGCTCGTCGATATCGCATTTTGTCATCATGGAGGTGACCACGCTGGTGCTACTGCTGCTATCGTATGCTGCCAAGCTGCTGCTGCGCCTGGTCAACTGCGATCGTCTCGTGGAAAAGCTGCGATAATACAAACCCGGATCGAATCCAAGTCCATGTCCACATTTACCAAATACTTTACACTAAACTTAAACATTTATGTCAATATTTACAACACTAATTAAGAATTAGTAACATACACTTGTAAATCGTAGAATCTATATGCTAGGAATGTGTCTGTGTGTAGGGTGTGGGTGTGGGTGTGGGTTTGGGTGTGTTTGTGCGTGTGTTTATATGTGGTGGGTGTGTGTGGCATGGCACGACGACATCTAATGAGTAGCAGTAGCAGCAAAAAGAACCAGAAACCTTCTCCCAAAACTAATCTTTAAGATATTTCTCCAGTGGATTTAATCCCAGGAGTTTCGGATTGGCTGTCTCATCTGGAACGAAGTCAAGCATCACCATCAATCATTCCCCCAAGCGTTTCAGATCTCTACTCACTTGACTGTGCCGGCTTAGCTGTGGTGGCACTCTGCGCCCGTGGTGAGGACTGCAGACAATTGAGCCACTCGGCCAAAGAGATCTTCTTATCACCATTCACATCACAGTAGCGCGGCATCTTCTTGCCACATCTCCGCAAATTGCTGTGGACGATTATTACGTGGATTGATAATTATCAAACACAATCGTGATTGATGCTCACCTCGCACTGGTGACCAGATCCCGGAACACTTTCCATTCTCTGCGCTCCCACGACTTGTTTTTGTTCTTATCCAGATACACAAAGCTCAGTGTGGCAATCCGTTCATCTTCCGTTTTCCACATGGTCGAATTGGTGCTGCTTGAGGGTGGAGGGGGAAGAGTTAGATAGTTAGATAAAACAGTGTTCAGGCACCAATGCTACCTCGTTGGACTGCTGGGCAGAGAGAGCTGCGTGTTGAGGTATGCCTTGAGCTCCTTGAGGAACTGCGTCTTGCGGGGTTCGGTGCATCCCTTCATGGGTCTCACGACGATGTCCTCATCGCACTGGGGCGGCTTGTTCTTTACCCAAGTGCCCGGAATGTTTTTGCCCGTGTCCTCGTTCACACACCAGCAGTATGGGGTGGAGCTGTAGCACTGGATTCGCTGATAGCGTCCATCGGGCATACATTCGGGCACATACAACCGGCTCATGCCACCGTGCTGTGGAAATCCAGACCAGAGAGACCATTTCCATTACAATAAATACACTTTTGACGGGGGAGGGGAGAGGTGGTGTAACTTACGCCCTGTTCCTCCAGTGCCACCGACTGATCGACCCAGCAGTTGGACTCGCCCTCATTCTCGGTGTTCGTCGATTCCGGCGTCTTGGAGTTCAGCACTGTCAAGATATGGGCATTAACATACAATCTATTCTGCCCTTTGGATACATGCCAAATGGATATGAATGTTACTAATTTCGGTTAGTGCTCTGCAACCAAGAACAACAACAACAACAACAACACAAGCGTTTATGTATGTACGTACTAATTAGTGACGGATAGTTGAGAGATGTGCGTGAAAGGTGCATGCTCGAGGCGTCCGATTCGTCCTCATCCTTGCCGTTGCCATTGCCATTGCCGTACCCGGTCGCACCATCGTCGTAGCTCTCATCATGCTCCTCGCTTTCAACGCTCAGATCCTCCGGGTACGAGTGTGGGGGACTGCTGCTGCCGATGATATTGGTGTTGGTATGATCGTGGTTGTTGTTGCTATCTGAATTTGTGGTGTGAATGAGATAGTGCATGTCGCGTGGCGGTGCCGTGGCCAAGCTGCCATTTGGGACATCAACGGCGGCACTACCTGTATACAGACAACACACAGATACCAGGATGTGAGTAACTTAGCGTACATATTGGATGATGTTATCATGGAAGTTAGTAAATATTTTTCCACCCCTGGGGCTAACCGAACGTTTTATTTATATTAATAATCGATACTCATCGCTCCCCTGGTTAACCGATTGCTTATGCTCTGTTCGATAGTCGTGAATTACAGTTAGTTTTGAGTGGAGTGCACCAACAAAAAGAAAATTAATAACTTTTACTTACGATTATGCGCATCTTTAAACAGGCAAAGGCTCCACTCGATGCGGGACAGGTTGTCGTCTTTGCTGACATCACAATACTTGCCAAAAGCACGTCCACAGCGTCGCGGCTTCACCGCCTGTTCGCATACAAATCAGCAAATATTTATAATATGGGTTTGGTTTGTATTAAAGTGGGTGTATATTTGAGGGTGATGGCGATCCATCAGACAGACGCTGACGTCCACAGGGCACATGGACAGCCGCTACGCTACTCACCCGCTTGAGGAGCTTCTTCAGCTCGCGCACTTCTTGCCTGTCCAGCAACTGATTGCCATCCGCATCTAGTCGGGTAAATTTCCAGTCCAAGATGGCGGCGTCCGAGTGGGTTTCTGTTGGGCCAAAGCGCAAGTACTCGCTGCGGAACACCTCGATAAGATTGGCGTTGAATGCCGTGCGATCCGCCTTGCCACATGGACGATGAGCAGCTGTTCCACTGCCACTGCTGCTTGCCTCGGCACTGGCACTGCCTCTGGCAGAATCAGCATCGTAGCTGATCTGTTGCGTGGGCAAGCGGCGACGGTTGCGCCTGTAGGCCCGACACTTGGGCTTTCTGCGACGCGACAATGTGGATGTGTCCTCAATGGGACGGCCCATGCTGTCACTGCACCAGCATCCAGCCTCTCCGTAGCACTGCCTGGCAGCATAGTTTCCATCCTTGCGACAACGCGGCACAAAATACTTGGGATCGCGTGCCTGCTGGCGACGCGCAAATTGGACAGCCTCCAGGCAGCCTGCAATCGGCCAAAGTAAGCATTACAATTGGGGCAGAAGATCGAAAAAGTCGCTCACTCACCATTGCAGGAACCGCGGTACTTAAGGCTCACCGGATGGCCGCTGCACTGCGCCCGGAGCAGGTGGCAGCGCGTGTGATAGGTCTGGCCATCGGTGCCGCAGACAGGACCCTCGCTCTCATCGCACTTGCCCATCTTGGCGGCGCACGCAGACAGTTTCAGCTGGAAGGTCCACGGAAGAGGTGTCAATTGGGAATGTGAAGCATTTTTCTACCGCTCCCAATACCACTGCCACTCCCCCCGCTCAGGGGGGACACGCTTAAACAGAATCGAACACGCGTAAAATGATTTATCGCATTTATGGCCAAGTCTCCGAGTCGTCGCCAAGCGTCTGGCTACTCGAATCTGACTTGCATACGGAATGGCGCACAGTGACTGGCCGCCTGGCCTGGCAGAAGGGGCCAGCAGCAGCGGGGTGGATACACGCGACATGGCTAATATGAAAATCAAAGTTGTCAGGCCCATAACTTGAATGGCATCGCGAATACGAGCAATGTACAAAAAGCTATGCGAAACCCAAAAATTCGCACCGAAATTATGGCAGCCTGTCGCTTTCGTTGTCGAGTGTCGACCAACTGGCTGGCTGGCTGGCTGGGATGCCGATGCCGATGCCTGGGCCGGTACGGCTGCTGAGTGAGCGAATTCTTGTTTAGCCCACAAAATCATATGTATGTACATATGTACGTTTATGTTTGTACATATGTAAATCATGAAAAAGAAATATGGGAGACCAAACACAATTGCGTAGCACTTAAGAGACTGCCACTGCCACTGCAGCGCAGCGCCTTTTGTCGCCAATTTGTTCGGCCAGCCCACAGCCCACATCCATTTGGACATTAATTAGATTTTGCTGTTATTGAAAAGTCACATTCATCTGCGTATCTAAATGTCCAATAGCTGAAACATGTTTGTGATAAGGTATTAGGATACTTAATTGAGGGGTCTTGTCTTGCAAATGCCAAAAGCGAAAGTGGATCTACTCATTATACAATGCAATACAATACGAACGGTGGGCTTCGATTCAAGTCATTATAATAATAATTTCGAATTATTGTGGCATACCAACACAGAATTCTTCTTGTTTCTCCTGAAACCCTAAGAAGGCTGTGAAATCAACTATGTACTTTATGATGCCATTCGTATTTCTGCCCTCTTGCAAACTCTAGTGTTTTGTGAGAGAAAATAAAGTAATTAGATATATTTTCCTTACACAAATCTCTTCTCGGATTGTCCAATTGTTATGTAGCCCGCCTACCAAGCACGCCATGCTCCTGCGACGGTTTCTTTTTATGATTGGGTCACTGATTATGATAGTCATAGGATTCTTAGCTTCTTTTCAGCTGCACGGTGGCCAGTTGCCACAGTTGTCAGGCCATTGTCGAGAGAAACATTGAAATGTGCAGATCCGCTGGCTAGCTTCCGCCTAGACTGGCGTAGGCTCCGACTATGATGCCAAATATCACGAGTATAATATCCCGAAGGTAAACGCTCGTTAAGCTTGCGCAATCGAATCTGCTGCACTCCACAATCCGAGTTTTCAGGTGTTTGTTTTGTTTGTTGACCGAAACACACAGACTTGTTGCTGACTCCAACGGAGGGAACAGATTCAACCAGCAGCAGCTTGTCGTTGCCATCTTAAGCTACAACAATGTCTATTTGCGGCGTCTGAATGTCTGGAGATACGCAGCCGGCACACCCATCGAAGAATGGCTCAACGCCGGTTTACTATTTGCCCCGCGGTAATTTAGAACTCCGAGATGTGCCTCCAGTCAGCCCGTCAATGGCATCTTAATACTTTGCAGATATGTATATAGTCGTTCATATCGCCGATTTCCTGCGTTATTTGACCCTGCTTCGTTATGACGGCCTCTATCTGGACCTGGATGTGGTCGTGCTGCAAAATATGGAGGTTTTGCCACCCAATTATGCAGGGGCGAAGTCCAATATATGGCGGGGCAATGGCAGTTATCATGACATGGCCAGGGCATGTCTGCGCGATTTTGAGCTGCATTTCAATGGCTATGGATGGGGTACCACGGGTGTTATCACCCCTGGCCAAAAAGATCTGCGGCACTAATCACATCGCAATGATGCAGGACGATCACGAACGATGCAATGGCTTCCAGGTGTATGGCCAAGGCGCCTTCTACGCTGTGCCTGATATTCAGTGGCGTGACTTCTTCAAGACCGACAAACTGGAGCAGACAATGGCTCTTACAAAAAACTCGTATCTGGTGCATCTTTGGAGCAGAAACTCAAAAGTGGTACCGATCAAGGCCGAAGGGAGAATACTTCCAGATAAATTATCTTCAGGGTTACTCAAACATGACGCGGATCTGAATCTATTTGAATATGTATATAAAATCTAGGTGAAAGTGTATACAAAGGGTTCCGGATGATCTGTTCTAAAAAAAGATCACCTAACAATCTATTTGGGAGGAATCTTTTTAAATCTTTTTTTATTTAAATACCAGAAGCCAGACATAAATGTTGTACCTGTCATGAGAAATACAAATAATACCTGTCCCAGTGTTATCTTGTTTCCCCTAATAAATACATATGTACATACATATGTATGCATAGTATGTATAATGTACATACATATGTATGTACATCTCTGTTCATACATGCACCAAAAATAATAGAATGTCTGCAAACAATTTTGAATCCAAATTGTGTGCTTTGAGCACGCGCTCGCCGGTAATCGGAGTGCGCAGGTGATTTTTGACTCCCAGATACATACATATGTACATGTATGTACATATGTATGAATGTACAGATGTACATAAGTGCAGACAGATATCGGACGAATGGGGAGCGAACCAGAATACTCGTATGCCATCATATTGCTTCAATCAGCAGATCCAATGTCCGTTCTTCGAAATATATGTATGTAATGTGGGGCATCTGTGTGGCCCGGTCGGGGGGTGGGGACTTGGGGAGGTTTACTTGAAACGGAATGCCATCGATCACAGTCGATGTCGGCGCCAATGACATGAGAATGTCTAATTGGAAATGCAAATGGCATTCCTTTGAATACATATTATTATTGGCTTTTTATAAATAGGGCGTTATCCCAAAAACGTGCCTGGATTGGGAATCCAAAACCAACGCCCTGCCCTGTGCACTGCACCGGCCCGGGCACCCTGTCTCTCGCACAGGGCCACAAATTATAAATGGAGACAGCTCAAGGATTGTTACCGACAGATAACGACAAAATTATTGACTGACAGTTCTCACGCTCGCCGAACGGCAGAAGAAGACGAAGAGCGAGCACAGCACCGAATGCTCGTATGAGGAGGGAGTGGATGTGATGGGAAAAGGGATCCCGATCCCGATCCCGAGCCCAACAGCGAGAATAACACTTTAAATACTTCTTCACACTTTGTCATCATCAGGCAGCTTAGTGGCATTGGCAAAAAAGAAACCTCTGCTCTGCTGTGCTCTGGCCTGGGTCCAGGTTTGGGTTCTGGCCAACTCCAACACCAACTCCAATTCGAAGAGGCAAAAAACGCTTTGGACCGTTTTCTGATCTTTTTTTGTTCTCCCCTGGCTTTTTGCTGAACGAACGAACACGAAACGAAACTCGTTCGTACGTCGGGCAGATGAAACAAAAACAAAAATGATGGAGAGACACAGTGGGAGGGGGAGGGGTGGGGCTGAGCCGGCAAACTGCCAGCCAAGACGAAGTTGGCAGACAGCACGGCGGCAGCAGGTTAGGTAGAAGAAGTCACAAGCTGAAGTTGAGCAGCCAACAGCCAGCAGCCAGCAGCATCAGTGGCAACTTCTTCTTTGTCTGCCTTTTGGACAAGCCCAGCCCAGCCCAGCCGAAGAAGCACTTTTAATACCTGGAATATTCAAGTGTTTTCTTGGGATTACTACAAAGTGATGATCATTTGTATGTCTTAGCGGAATGGGGCAGGGGCAGATGCAGGGACTTAAAAGCAGAGTTTTTGGCAATGATTGATCCCTTTAACCATTCCATCCATAGCGCTGCATAATCGGATTAGTTAGGATATCGAAACTAATCAATGATTAGTGGTGTCTTACATATTTATTTATAGTTTTTATGGTTTATGGTTTAATAATCACTTACCGTCTGCTCCAGTCGCCGCTCCTTGGACTGATCGTTGCTCTTGCCGTCCGCCGCCATGACCACCACGAACAAGGTCAGGAATAAACATCGCGCAAACATTTCAGTGCAAGCAATTTTAATTCTTTTAACTGTTTGTGTTTGTGGCCAAAGTGTTTGTGTGTTCGTATTCACAGTTAGAGCAAGAAATGCCCAAAGATCAGCATTATAATCAAATATTCAAATATGCATTTATTTCACCACAGCAAACTTTTGTTTTTTATATTTTTGCAAAGTCGCAATTAGAATTTCTTCTTTCTATTATTGTGGGTGTACTGTGTTGTGTGTGTGTGTGTGTGGTGGGAGGAGAGATAGAACTTTTACTTGAGCGCTTTATTTATTTATCGATTTCCGTTTGCTATTTATAGTAACTGTTTCTACACCTATGTATATACGCGAACATCCATACGTACATACATGCATATGTACTGCACGTGTGTGTACATATGTGCATTAAGGTGTTGTAGATCTTGTTTATACAATGGATTTCTGCCTTTATTTATGTGTATGATTTTTTGCCGATTTCAAAAATTTCAAAAACCGTCCGAAAATAACCAAAAACCAACCAACCAACGGTCGCAAAGTTTTCTGTCGACTGACATCCACCAAGTTGCTGTGGAGTAGCCAAGGCAGAATATAGCCGGCCCGGCCTAAACTGGCCACAAAGAGAGAGGGACAGAGCGAGAGAGAGAGAGAAAGACCTACCGTACCGCTGCACAGTGGGTTAAATGATAAAATCTAGCAAAAAAAAAAATGTAGAAAAAATGTTGGCATATAAAAAACAACAAATTGCTTGCCCTGTAAAATTAATATTTAAAATTTGTCACTGTGCAGACCAGGATATCCCATTAATGTTACTAATTGAAACTAACAGAAGATGTGTGTGTCTGGGAGAGGGAGGCTGGGAGAGGCCTCTTACTGCACGAAAGTTGAGTAAGCGAAAATGGCGTTTTTTTCTTTGGCCAGATTGGTCATTTCACCCACTGTGCGCTGCCGCGTATGTAGATATGCATGTGTATGTGAGAGAGAGGATCGGTCTGGTGGCGTGCAGCGCCGCCGCCGCCGCCGCATTGAAAATCGACAATGTCGCCACAATGTCTGGCGTGTCTCTGTCTCCGCCATATCTTATCTTTTACTTTGCTTTTGCCTTTTAGTGTGTTTCTTCCCCCTGACACGGCTCCGCGTCCGAAACTGGACAGCAGAGTGCAGCAGCATAAAGGCACACACACACACACACACACACATGCAGTCTCGCACAAGCGCAGAGGAGGCATGCTTCAATGTGTGTGCGAGTGTGAAATTTATGTTCCTTTGTACATCTCAAGAGGCTGCCTCACCAAAACATCTAAAACAAAACAACAAAAAACCAAAGCAACAGTTGGTGGGACCACAGCACCAGCTGCTGTGCCCGCAGAGGTAAAGATGGTGGAGGAGTCGAAAAGGTAGGATGGCCCGAAGGAGAGGAGAAAAGGAAAACGTGAGCTATATACTCGTTGAGCCCTGCTCCTGCCGTCCGTCGCACGTCTGTGATTTATAGAGCTAGTGGTGGTGGTGGTGCTGCTGCTGCTGCTGCGGCTGCCGGGCTGGTATCGAAGGAGGCAGGTCTCCCGGTCCGATCCCCTACCCCGGTCTGCCGATCTCCGTTTCGGTGTGAAACCTGCCAGACAGTCTGACGGCAGCGATAGCCCGACCCTCTCCTCTCAGGCATTGTTTTCGGCTGCCCCCCCGCCTGTTTCCACACTCAGTTTTGTGGTCTTCTTTTACGATCGAACATGCCAAGGAGCAGAAGGGGGCGTAGAAGGAGAAGGAGGAGGCGGAGGAGGGCTTGGAGTAGAGTGGAGAGAGAAGACTGCCAGACAGTATGACGCCAAATTCAATACAACATGGTCGATAACAAAGGTAAACAGGCAGCGACAAGGGGCACTTGAGGGCGAGAGCCAGAGACTACATAGGCCCTGCTACTGCTACAGCCCGTGGGATTCAGTTGGTTCAGTGTTCGGCTCATTCCAGAACCAGATGCAGATATAGATATAGATACAGATGCATACAAACACAAACATACACACACGCGGATACAATACGCCCGCCTGCCCGCCTGTGTGCCCAACTAATCATTTTGTGATTCTTGTTTGTTTATTTGTCTTTCTTTATGAAGAACTTTTTCGGTCGAATTTATTTATTGTCTTGTGGATTGCGTATCTGTATATGAGAATTTGTATCTGCATCTGCAACCCTTTGGATGGTGGAGCACTTTAACAGTTAGTCAGAAATTGAAGCCATTATAATTCCTACCCGATCAGCACTATTTGCGATTTTTCTTTATTTTTTTACCAAAAGATTTACGGAGTTGAAAAGTTAAAGCAACATTTGTATTATCCCCTCCGCTAGTCTTTCTAGCTATTTACGAACTTGTATAGAGACTTCTGTTCCCACCATATCTCTATAAAAGAGATGACACATGACAAGCTCGCATAAGCTGTCTTCCCTGTTATCTTTTAAGATGGCCAATATTGGCAATACAATTAATAAATGTACCGAGACCTCGGGTTTTCCATCGCATTGTGGAAGTACATACTCTCAATAAAGTAAAATCCCCCGAGACGTGTCCGCGCATAATGAAATAACAATGAGAGTAAGTCACCCAGTGGGAGTCCCTACGCGAAGCGCTCAGACAATACGCAGCGAAGTTTGCTATAAAAAGAGCCAGAGACTACAACAGAACCAACAGATCCCACGATCCGACACAACAGTATCATCCCTGTGAATATTCCAGAATGAAGTTCATCGTTTTCCTTGCTCTTTCCTTGGCTGTGCTGTGTCTGGTGAAGGCTCAACCCCTGCCAGAGGAGCACTTCGAGGAGGATGTGGCTAAAACCTTGGTGGTTAAACCCTTGGTCCAACTGATGGAGCAACCCGTAGTCCAGGATGTCACCGAGCATAGTCGCCAGAAACGAGCCACCTGCGATCTGCTTTCGAAGTGGAACGTAAAGCACACGGCCTGCGCCGCCCACTGTCTTGCGAAAGGCTTCAAGGGTGGCTACTGTAACGGCAAAGCTGTTTGCAATTGCCGTCGTTGATCCTGATTCGGAATGGATTTTAATCAGACATAATGTACACGCTTGCAAATAAAGTTTAGAACATTCTCCAATCCTCAATGGACACGTGCTGAGTGACTATAGATATCTATTCATGCCAACTATTATAATTAAGTGCTCAATGAATGATCTCTTATCGCCGATTGGGGATCACGACTTTTAGACGCGAGGGGTCAACGGAATCGCAGCATAACAACCGACAAGTTTTGGTAGATGTTTGACAGCAATTCCAGCTTCACTTCCGTTTTGCGGGCAGGCGGCAAATGAACTATAAATATTGCAAAATGCATGTAATGTATAATTCTCTCTTATCAATTTAACCGAGCAAACAGTGAGGGCAGGCGCAGGCATTACCTCCCCCAGAGCCCCCACACACGACCGCAACGACACACAAATGAGACACAAGACACAGAAACAAAAGCACAAGTAGAGACAGTGCGAGAGACAGACACTCAATTAACGCCAATTATAGGCGATCTCGCGAGACCAAATTGTTAATAAGAGCATGTAGAAATGAGCGCAGAATTGTGCCCGCGCTGTGTATTTACTAGCTGAACCAATGATTTCCCGGTTAACTATATTATTCGATTGCATTTATATTGAGAAGCGCAGCGCGAACCACACACGATTAATTCTCTATTTACAATGAGATGAGACTCTTTAAGTTATCAGCGCTGGGAAGTCTGGGCCAGGCGGGAGAACTGCGGCAGACGGTCTCGGTCAACAATATTGCGCAAATCGCGGGATCTGTTATACATACATAGATTGGTTTTTGATGCTTAGTAATACTGGTAAATTGAATATCACCCGTGCTGGCAGTTATTTTTAGTTTTCGGGTATATTTGATTTTTATTTTTGCCGCGAGAATCTTCTTCTTCCTCTTCCCTTTGATTCGTGTTGAAAAACGACACCATATTTTGAGAACAAAAAACATCGACTCGACGACTATCGATAGATTAGTGTCAAAAACATTTTCTGGCTTTATTTACTTTACTCGAATATTTATTTATCATTCTCAATAGACTAACCGTCGCACACCTCCGCCCATAGCATATTTAAATGCACTGCTGATTAGAGTAATTTGAGCTACATAGTCCACGTAGCTCTAAAGTCGTATATCCCAGAGTGGACACTATCTGTTCGCGCACTTTCAAACCGCAAGCGCTGTGCTGACGTGGTCCAGTAGCTAATAATTTTGAGAGCTGTTATTCCCATTTAATTAAATTATTGTTAAATATTTTTAAACCATGCTGACAAAGGCCCTACCTTTACTATTGTGCTGCCTGGTGGTGCTGGCCCAAGGCTACAGTTTCACGTCGAAGGAAGTCAAGTGCCACGGTAAGTGGCAGCAACAGGCTGATGCGGACCTGTTGGCACGCTCCTAAATCGACCCTTATCTATTCTTTACAGTGTGCAAGGCCACGGTGATAGAGCTGGAAGAAGCCATTGCCAAGGAGGATGCCAATAAGAAGGTCGATGTGAGTGGTTTCCGCCTGGATGCCCAGGGAAATTCGGTAAGCAAGCGTGTACGCTTGATCAAGTCTGAGATGTTCCTCACTGAGCTCATGGAGAAGATCTGTAAGTTCCTATACATCAAGTATCAGCAACATTTCCCAATGATTCAATCCCCTTCTGGCAGGTGAAAAAATGGATGATTACCTGAAGGCCACCTACAAGAGCAACGGCAAATTCACACTGCTGAAGATGATAGTCAATGGCCAGATGAACCCGGAATCTTCATTGGTCGATTTCGTCCAAGACGGCGATCTTAACAAGAGTCTGGGCCACTTTTGCAATGAGGTGCTGGAGGACAATGACGAAATCTTCCTGAAAGCATTCCAAGCCGAGGAGCTGGGCAATGATTTGGATATCAAAATCTGCTCGGAGCAGGCCAAATACTGCGACGAGGCGCCCGTACAGGATGAATACGACTTTGACGAAAAGGAGGAGCTGTAGAGATGTAGTTATCCTAGTCAATTCCACTAACGAATTTCCATGATCATCACCATTGTGTTGCGCAGAGCCCACCCGCTCACGGCGGGCTCCGATCCGTACTGAACTTTCGAACGAAACTTATATATACATATTGTATAGACAAAGCCAGCGCTTAAAAACTAGATAAGACAATATACATCAAATCAATGTGCAATGCCATCCATTAACATGTGTGGTTTTATTCGCTGCTAAATGAAGGCACAAATTAAGTGGTCTAATTGTAGGGAGTTGTAGTTAGGCAGACTGATGTGTTCGATGGGTAATTTGTTCATTTTCGTCTTCTTCATCCTACTTCTGTTCCTCCTCTTGTTTGCTGCAACACAAATAATTAAGTGACTGCTGCGTTGGAGCGCTGACAGTACTTACGGTTCTGGTGGTGGTCCACCGGTGTTACGAAGCATTTGGTGACGCACAACCAGCCATGGGGCACCAAAGCCCACAGTGCCAATAATAACCCAGAACAGTGTGAAGCGCGCCGGGCTATGCATTCCCTTCGACCAGGGCAAGTTCTATGGAGCAGCCAGGCTTGTACAAATTATGGATACGCACGAAAATCCTGGCTACTTACCGCACCCGGACAACCGCCGGGATAGCCGTGATGGCAAGAGCGACTCAGCGGTTCGCATATATTGCGCACCGAGCTACGCAGTGTAGACCACATGATTAAATTTCTTTTGTCTTTACAACTTAAAAGGTTAGTTTTTGTGAGAAAGCCGTCCGTTTGCTGAGAAAACGAATTATTATTTAGTGTCTGCCAAATGACAATGATAGAGAGGAAAATGGCCAGGCCTACTACTTAAGGCTAAAGAAAAACATTGATCCGCTTGGTTTACAGTTGGGGGCAACTTTATTACGTTTCCACTTTACACCTAAATTTAAGCTGTAACACACTGCACCGCCTGGCTGGACCGACAAAGCATCTTACATCTGCAAGAACAAAATATATTTAAGCGAATTTTCGCAGTTGAAACAACTAACCTTACATTTGTTGCTGTTGCTGCTGCCTGCTGGCTGCGCCATGGTCACTGGGGGACCTTACTTCTTCAGCAGTTGATGTCTGACGATCAGGAAGGGGGAGCCGAAGCCCAGAACACAGCCGATGGTGAACAGAGCGGTGATCCTGTACTTGTTTGTCAGGCCGAAGGGCAGATTCTGATATTCAAAGAGAATTTTCAGATGATATCATTGATTTTCCGTCAGGATTATGTGCTAAATGCAATTATGTAACCACTGGGTTTTATTGAATTCATTTGCTCACCTCGCCGGGAACGCCACCATGGCCGCTGAAGCGGACCATGGATTGCGAGAAGTTGCGTGCAATAACACTGCTGCGGCCCAACATTTTTATATTCAGATATTTTAAGTAAAAATTTCACAAATACAGAGCTTGCTGTTGGTGGTGCGCAAATTAGAGATGACAAATGGCCGATACTCTATGCGATACGTCGATAGTATCGGAAAAAGGTACACTGCAAAAAAATCCAATAAAAACTGAATTTAATTCATATAAGCGTCCTTCATATCAAGAGACCTCCTTTCATTGTTTAATAATTGAGTAATTTAAAAAAAATCCGCAATGGATTCATATAATATTGTTATTTTCAAAATATAACAAAAAAAATAATCTGCTTATCGCACAAAACTACCGATATTTTTGTGTAAGCCTCCCTGTACATCGATAAACAGAATTTCAAGTTTTTATATCTGAAACAACAAAAAAATGGTATAAGTTTATTCCAAACTCAGTAAAGTTTGTGATATGTACAAATATCACCTACGAATAATTATTAACAATCAATTTTTCGATATATTTATACGAATATAAATTGACTGCGCCAGCCATCGGCCTTAAAGGCCATCACTACCATTTCGAATGTTGTCAGAACGGCCATTTTGACGGACGGACAAAACTCATACACATCCCAAAAATAAATAAATTCGAAATTATTGTACAAAATTATAAGTAAACGTTCCGCGGCGTCGGTATATATACGTGGCCCAACAGGAGGGTGCCATCGTTCGGGGGCGCTCGCACAAAGTGTCTGTGAATCGCTACATACAGAATTTTTCCATTTGCAAGTAACACCGATACATTGTGAGAATCGCACAAATGCAGTGAGGAGTAGGAGTAGAAGTCAAGACAGCAACAAGGAGAACGCTGGCAAAATGCTCGAATCGCCCAAATTTATTGAGAATGATTTATATAATGGGAGCCATGCCTTTACCTGGCTGGCCGACATGGTGGGGCTCTCTGTTGATTTGGTAAGTTCTTATAACTTAACTCTCCGCGACCGTCTCTTCTCCTACCATCTAAATCAAACGGGTGTGTGTGCACGTGTGCGTGTTTATCTGTACATAAAAGTATACATGTGTTGAGTGTTAATAATGCAGACAAAGCCCAGTATCTTTTGCATAATTTGCGCTAAGAAAATTGATACTTAAAAGGTATTTGTAACTGCTGCAGTGCAGGAACGGTATTTCCTTAGCAACAAAATATATACAGTGTGAAAGTGTTAATCAGAACGAAGGTTAAATGTGCCGGCTATCCTCCAAAAAAACGTGGAGTCGTTCAAGGTTTGGACCAATTTGGGCCGCCCACCTAATTTTCTACTGTTTGTTCGGGTTGTTTTAGCGCGAAATTGGCAGCTAAACGAATTTTAACTGTGCTCTATAGTGTAAATGCAGCATTCCTCAATTGGCCTGCCTGTTGAAAGGAGCAAAAACTGCTTATGTTAATTGAAGTTAGATTCATGCAAAACTTGAATGATTTTCGGTGTCCCACTTTCTTATCAGGGGAGGGAGGTGCGGCTGTTGACAGTCGCCAAGAATAATCTGTGGAATTTTCCACGCTGTACGCTTCCAATTTAAAACAAAAGTAAACTACACAATATGAGCCGCCGTGACATTTTGAACATTGGACTCATCTTCATAGTTGGTTTTGGAATAGTTAAAGATTTTTGCATGAGGTGTGAGTGGTGGTGGCGGGGCTATTATGGGCAATTGATCGCTAAGTGTCGCACGTGTATGTACATACTCACACTCTCTGCATGTGTCTCATTGTCCCGCTTTCTCACCCGCTGGCCGTAATATCATTTGCATGACGGCAACTACATACGAATGTACATACATATGTACATAGGTTAAGAGCGAGATACAAATGTGATTCATTCATGCATTTGTGTGCATTTATCTGCAGCGCTTAGGGCCTGGCCCAAATCCGTTTTAGACGTGAAATGAAATGATGGCCATACACGTAATATACTCAACTGAATAGTAATATTTTCAATGCTTGATGACCTAATACCAACATCCGATGTAAAGTCGGTATGTGTATGTGTAGTCCATATGTGTTAATATAGTGCGAATTTGACTGGTATAGACACACGCATACTTGAAATTCAATTGAACTGACTTCTATCATGGCTCGCAACACCCCCTCCACAAAGAGCTCCCCGGTAATTGAATTTTTAGCTCTTTTGTTTGCAAACAAACGGCAGCAACAGTAGTTGTGAGCAAGCGTCAGTGTACATGTGTACATATGTATGTGTGTGTGCTCTCTTTCCCGCCTCTGTGTGCCGTGCCTCAGCTGATATTTTTTCCCCTCCTAGACCCCACCCCAGCTCCGCTCATGACTCAGAGCGACAGGGTGTTTTGGGAACCATTTAACTTCTTTCTGATGGCAGCGCGGGTGAGTGTTTGTTTGGGTGTATGACACATTTGGAAATTAGCAAGAGCTCAATATTAGCTGGCGTATCATTAGCACGAAATGTTTTATTAGTTTTATTATGTAAATTTAAATCGAAGGTTGAAACACGCAATGCGCAAATGCCGGTGAATTCGCCAATTGTTCGAGGAATTGCCTCACCCCAAAAGTATTTCCATACATACATATATGTAAATATGTATGTATGTATTTCTATGGCACTATACCGCTTGCAGTATTTATCGGCGCTAATGAGCTGTTGCTGCAGGCCCGGCCGGTCAAATGGCGGCATATTTTCTGAGCCCATAAACTGTTTGTTTTGCTCTCTTGCTCTTCTTTCTCGCGGCTCACGGTCTCTCCACCCCCACAGGCACGACGCTGACTGTGTACATATTTTCTTTTATTAATAAACAGCAATAAACAACTCATTTTATTTGTTGTATGTATGTATGTACATGTGCATATGTATTTTTTGTTTTGTTATTTCACAACTTTTCTATATGCTAAAGCACTGCGCAGCACTGGAAGTTGAACACCGGTCTGTTCGATCAAAAAGCAAAGTGTAAACCAATTGAAATAAATATAAATTGCTAATTGTTATGCATGGCGTCGGGCCAAAAGGGTTCAGAGAGCAGCACCGGTAAATTGAAAAAGACAGCGAGAGAGAGAGACGACCATTTGGCATGGATGGCCAATTGTTGCGCCTTGCTCTCAGCACACTCTTTCTCACTCCCACTCTCCCTCCATATGCATAATTATAATAAATTATTATTTCTATGACCTTGAGTGGGATGCCAGATGTTGTTTGAACTCTGTTGAGAGCAGCATGCGGCGGCTGTTGTGCGGCTGTCATTTGCCGCCTCTTCTTTTTCCCTCAGTTTTGTCAGCCGCTGGGTGGCGCCATTAGCATGCATATGTATTTACATATAACGGTTGTTTTCATACCCTGGGCTACATTTGCATAATGGGTATATCGCTAGAGCCACTATCAAACAAAAATAGGAAGCTATTTTAAAGCCGAAACAAACTGTTACTCTTGCTTTTGTTCCCCAATCGAACATTTTTTGCTGCTTGGCGATAACCACCTAGAGCGTTCTTGATTCTTTGTTCTTTGTCGTCTTCAACTCGCACTCTTGCTTTTTATCGTACGTTTGCATTGGGAACGATATTTCTGTTGTTTCTTTTATTGTTTTTGGTTTATTTATAGTGATCACGCCACTTTTCGATACGCGCTTGTTTGGCGCACTGTCGCTCTCACCTCCGACTCTGCCTCTCCTCCTGACCAAAACGCTTATGGGGGGGTTTTATGAAATGATTTATGGGTATACATATTTCCATTTGCGGTATATGTTTGTTCTATGTTTGCCTGCATTCGTGATTTACCCATAAACATTTTGGTTGACTGATGGGCTTCAACATTAGCAGCTCATGTACAACATTCTGCTGCAATTTAAGCCCTTGACAGCCCCCACAGTACCCTTCTCTGAAGCTCTGGAGAACGCTTGAGAACAATGGAAGATGAGCACGCACATTATTTCCTCCAAGCTACTACATTGTTGCCCGTCCGTTGGCCTGAATTTATAGAAACGTCTTATCTTCACATCAAGTTCCTTACAATAGCGCAAACAACGCACCATAAAGCGAGGGAGGAGATAAGTCACGAAAGAGGGGTAAAGATTTGTCTCTAACCTTTTTGCCATTCCAATGTATAAAATCGTGTTCCAAATGCAGCCCTTCGATTGAAGGCGTGTCAAAAACAGCTGACAATCGAAATACAAGGCGGCTTCCTTGCCTTTGCGTGCCAAGAAATTCAATTTCAATGTTGAAATTCGATTGGCTTCACTGGTTTTATGCTCAATTTCACTTAATTATTTCACCTTGAGCACTTGACAGAGACTCGAATTCGAGGTCGCCAGAGAGGCCCTCAGAGTACGATGTGAGCCAAGGTAGGGCACCCCCAACCTCCGACACTGTCTGGCTCAATCTGAAACAAAAGCTGAAACCAAAAGTATGCCCCCCAAGCAGGCAGATGAGTTCCTTCCGCATACTCGGAATGAATCATGATTTCGAGCTGGATTGCTCTCCTGTTTTAATTCCAATTCCAACAAGTCGCCGCCCACCCACTTGTTGGAGCCTAATCCCATCCGAGAGCTGCTTCCACTGTATTTTGACTTGAAATATTCTTCAGCAAGATTTTCCTTTCGTTTGGTATTGCTGTGCCAGTGCTGCTTTTGTGCAGGTTGTTTCCCATTAACCCGTTAACCGGTTTTGCCCAGAGCATTGCCAACTCGAATTATTGCGCATGAGCTCTTTGGATGGATGGATGGATGATGATTACAACACTTCGTATGTGTATGGGGAGACTTTTTGTTTTGTGGCCTTTCTGCGTTGTACACACAACAATTGATCGGCTAATATAAACTTATGTGCCTTCTAATCAGATCTGTAGTTCGACTCTTTACTCAGCATTTGCGATAACAAAGGACAGCCTCAAACGAATTTATCGTCTCATATATGTATGAAGCTTATCGCTATGACGGCAGGCCCTAGCCCATCAGGCCATTGTCGCTTTGTCTTTGACCTATGGCGCGAGGAGGTACATTACATACTTGCATACATACTACACTGACGTGGTTCCCGATTGCCATTTCCTGATATAGATCGAGATAATATGTACTATATCTTATATACATACACAAGTACATAGGTATGTACACGTTACGTACACCACTCTTATCGACAGTCCGACGTGTACTTTGGCAATTACGAAATTTGAGAGCAGAATTTTTAAGATGCTTACAAAGTTATTTGAAAAGATAGTTGAAAAATGGAACTTCTGGTACAGTGCGTTTTCGATGTGTAAGGCACAATTTGAATTGTGTTGGTGATTCATTATTGAATTAAGGTATAATTTATCACCGTCCAAATAAAGTTTTAAAAGAATTTGGTGGGTTTTATGGTTTTGAACTGTACTGTACTTAGCTTCTTTCACATATTGAAGCTATAGAACACATAGCTCAGGAAGTAACTTATTCTCTGAAAACGGAGATGTGACGCCGAATGCACTTTGCAAATTAGTCCGTAATTATCAGGAAATGTGGTCACTTGCTTGTCGGTGGTCCCAGATACACGGAGACCACTTGAGTCGACCGTTGAACGGATGACTATAAAAGAGCGGTGCAACAGAGAAGTCGTCAGCACCAAACCGAAAGCGGTAAAGTAACCAACTGCAGTTAGTTATCCTTTCGAGCTGCCTATAGTTTTCCATGAATTTCTGTAAGTGTCGCAGGTATTGGTGGAAGTGGGTCCTCAGACTTAATACCCATTCCATTTACAGCAAGCCTTCTTCTGCTGGCCCTTGTGGCAGTAATCGCAGACTCCCACAGAATCGCTCAACCGCCTGCAGATCCCCAGGAGCCATGCAGCACCACCACCCTCAAGCCACCATGTGACACGACAACAACTCCGAAACCAGAACCACCGTGTACACCAACACCACCGCCTCCGCCTCCACCTCCACCACCCTGTTCTACAACAACACCTCCGCCAGATCAACCCTGTGACACGACAACAACTCCGAAACCCGAACCACCATGTACACCAACACCTCCGCCTCCGCCTCCACCACCCTGTTCTACAACAACAACACCTCCGCCAGATCAACCCTGTGACACGACAACAACTCCGAAACCCGAACCACCGTGTACACCAACACCTCCGCCTCCACCTCCACCTCCACCACCCTGTTCTACAACAACAACACCTCCGCCAGATCAACCCTGTGACACGACAACAACTCCGAAACCCGAACCACCATGTACACCAACACCTCCGCCTCCACCTCCACCTCCACCACCCTGTTCTACAACAACAACACCTCCGCCAGATCAACCCTGTGACACGACAACAACTCCGAAACCCGAACCACCGTGTACACCAACACCTCCGCCTCCACCTCCACCACCCTGTTCTACAACAACAACACCTCCGCCAGATCAACCCTGTGACACTACAACAACTCCGAAACCCGAACCACCGTGTACACCAACACCTCCGCCTCCGCCCCCCCTGTTCCACAACAACAACACCTCCGCCAGATCAACCCTGTGACACGACAACAACTCCGAAACCCGAACCACCGTGTACACCAACACCTCCGCCTCCACCTCCACCACCCTGTTCTACAACAACAACACCTCCGCCAGATCAACCCTGTGACACTACAACAACTCCGAAACCCGAACCACCGTGTACACCAACACCTCCGCCTCCGCCTCCACCCCCCTGTTCCACAACAACAACACCTCCGCCAGATCAACCCTGTGACACGACAACAACTCCGAAACCCGAACCACCGTGTACACCAACACCTCCGCCTCCGCCTCCACCCCCCTGTTCCACAACAACAACACCTCCGCCAGATCAACCCTGTGACACGACAACAACTCCGAAACCCGAACCACCGTGTACACCAACACCTCCGCCTCCGCCTCCACCACCCTGTTCTACAACAACAACACCTCCGCCTCCACCTCCCTGTTCTACAACAACAACACCTCCGCCAGACCAACCTTGTGACACGACAACAACCCCTCCGCCAGAGACACCGTGTATCACAACAGCTGCTCCTCCCAGCCTGATCGAGAAGCTCATTCCCAGGCCTCTGTTAGATCTCTTCTCCGGCTCCAGCATCTCCACAACTGGAGAGGGCGCGTGCAGCGGAAGGGCTGACGGAAGCTACCTGCAGGACGAGAAGCACTGCCGCCGCTACTACGAGTGCCGCAGCGGACTCCGCGTGCTGCACAAGTGCAGAGCCGGCCAGTGGTTCGATTTGGAGGAAGGCAAGTGCCGCCGTCGCAGCCTGGTGCTGAACTGTCCCGCTCAGCGCAACTGAAGATGAAAGGATCGGCGGATATGATACGTGCAACATGTATATTAACGTGTATCCTAACCAACAGTAATCCACTCAATAAATAGCAATCTAATCGAACTTTGTACCAACTCAACTTATCCTACTTTGTCGTGGCTCCTTTTTTGTTAAAGAACTAAACGTAGCCAAGGTCGTGGGTCGGTATGGCGAGGCGTATTTACTGGGAACAGTCAGTGTCCGCTTAGAGTTGTTTGGGATAACATTTAAATTATTTTTTCATAGAAGGGTAGCTTGGAAGGTACTTGCTAAGGTACTACAATCCATTCCGCTCATCTGCTACACCAACAACGATCGAAAACATAACAACAGAAAACTAAAGACGCGTTTAAAATGTATTCCACATTAAAGTCATTGACTCCAAGACTCGATGACATTAAAATTGTTAATTAACAAAGTGATCTTGTCTGTGATTAAAAATTACTGCTGATTACAGTGTGTAATTGTTTCCACAATAATATATATGTATATATAATAAATGTATATAAATACTTAATATGTTTATGCACAACTAATAATATAATTCAGAATTGTGTCGGCACAACATTGTTCCTGATAAGGCCGCATCCGCTTGGCTTGGCCTTCGTTCTTTAGTTGTCAGTGAATCGCCTGGGGTCCTGACAATCTCTGATGTTCTGAGGTTGTTGGACAATGTCTTATCGAACATTATCAGGAACAAAGTAAAAAAGCGTTTTAAAAGAGTTCAAAATCAAGCTGAGCGAGGGGCAAGCAATTGATATCAATTATAGGTTTTATATCATTCGCTTGTCTCGACGAAACCTGTTACGAAACCCAATTCAGCAGGGCCTATCACTCCACTCCACCCCACTCATTGTTTATGCATTAGCAGGCACGAGTAGGCACAATAAATAATTTTTTTAATGGTTGCTGGTGGTGCGGTGCTCTCGTTACTCAATGTCAGCTAGCAGCTGGCAAAGGGCATCGCCGAGAACGATATTCACGTAGATCAGTGTGTGGGGAAGTGTGTGTAAGCATTTGCATTAAAATGAAAGCCAACCCACTCATGCCAAGGCCAAGTCGGATCACCTCTTGGCCCACTTGCAACCAAAACGAACCGAACTGAACATTGATCACAAAGTGTTTTCGTGATTACTGATTCTTGATCATGATCAAGAGCAATGAACGATAATGTTGCAGTCGTTGTCGCCGTTCTAGGGGAGATGAATGCTCTGCTCTCTGATGCCAATTGCATTTCAGAAAAGGCACGTGCACTCCGCATGTGCTCTCCGGTGGGGTGTGGATCTCACGGGGGGGGGTATCGTATGCCACGGCACACAGATACAACAGAACTGGTTACGATTCTCGCAGGTGGTGCCATTTCCCTAGATACATGTTATTTGAGTTTGCGCCAATGACGTCTTCGTAGCTATTTAATATACTCGTGCCACAGAAAATGCTTCGTCCCAAGGGGAGACGAGTCGACCCAGCTTTCTTTCTTTATTTTGAATTCACTCAACTTATGTCAAAACATTTTCTTGTGCATTGCAGGTAAACTTTTTACTATGCCAAATATCAGCCCTCTTCCTGGCCTCCCTCTTCCGCTCGCTGCTGCATCCCTCCAAGGTGTCCAGCAAGCTGCGCCACACATTTGGGCTGTCGATTGGCCTGGCCTTTGGTTACTTTTGCTTTGGTCAGCAGGCCATACACATTGCCGGTCTTCCGGCAATATGCTACATAGTCATACGCACCCAAGATCCGCGCATTGTGCAGAGGTAACGAATAGGCATAGAATCGCTGATTGATTTGAACTCTCGCTAATTTACTGAGATTGCAGAGCGGTCTTGCTGGTGGCCATGAGCTATTTGCTGTGCGTGCATCTGATGCGACAGCTCTACGACTATGGATCCTATGCTCTGGACATTACCGGGCCACTGATGATCATCACACAGAAGGTTACGAGCCTGGCCTTTAGCATACATGACGGTTTTGTGCGGGAGGAGGAGGTGAGTACATAAAACAAATTGAGGTGCACTCGACAGCAATTATGAAAAACTAAACTAATTTTCCCATTTGTCCCTTAATAGGATCTGACAAAGGCTCAGCAATATCACGCCATTCGCAAAATGCCATCGGCATTGGAGTACTTCTCGTATGTGTGGCATTTCCAAAGTATCCTGGCCGGCCCACTGGTCTTTTACAAGGACTACATTGAGTTTGTAGAGGGCTACAATCTGCTGAAGCGTCCGTCCACCAATGTAAGTGCATTACGTGGTCAGGTCACTGCGTCTGCAGTGGCCACTAATGGCAGCTGCAATGATTTCATTAGTTGCCATAAATTGGCTTCTCCCCCCCTCGGCCCATCTGCTTCCTGTTCATCCTTTTGCCTGGCAATATTCATTAGTGATTAATTAACTTTGTCTGCGGCAGGGCTCTCTGGACAATGGCAAAACGGAACTGGTGCTGGAGCCATCGCCAACGAAAACGGTGATACGCAAGGTGATTGGCAGTCTCGTGTGCGCCTTCATATTCATGAAGTTCGTGAAGCTCTATCCAGTGAAGAACATGAAGGAGGATGACTTTTTGGAGAACACCAGCATGGCCTATAAATACTGGTATGCCATGATGGCAACCACCTGCATACGCTTCAAGTATTATCACGCATGGCTGCTGGCGGATGCGATATGCAATAACGCTGGTCTAGGCTTCGCCGGCTACGACAAGGACGGCAATGCCAAATGGGATCTAATATCCAACATCAATGTCTTGTCATTTGAGGTAGGCATAGCTTTGTTTGGATCTCGATCCTGGAATTAGTATTTATCAAACTTTGTCCCTTGGCAGTTTTCGTCGAATATGCGCGATGCCATCAACAACTGGAACTGCGGCACAAATCGCTGGCTCCGCACCCTCGTGTATGAGCGTGTGCCGAAGCGATATGGCACACTGCTCACCTTTGCATTGAGTGCCGTATGGCATGGCTTCTATCCGGGCTACTATCTGACCTTTGCCACCGGAGCCGTGACGGTCACCGCCGCCCGTATGGGACGCAGACTCTTCCGTCATCGCTTCCAGAGCACACAGCTCACCCGAATGTTCTACGACATTCTCACCTGTCTAATCACACGCATTGTGATGGGCTATGCCACATTCCCATTCGTTCTGCTTGAATTTATGGTGAGTATTATTGACTCTGACGGGGGATGAAACGAAAAACTTATTTTTCTTTTTCCATTTTTAATTACAGGGCAGCATCAAATTGTACCTGAGATTTTATTTGTGCCTTCACATCATTTCAATAGTGACCATATTTATTTTACCCCAATATATACGCGGCGAAAGAAGCGCCCGCTCGTCCAAGAGTGGCGAGAGAGTAGCGGCCAGCGACAGCGCCAGAGTCAGGGACTCATCACCGACCCAGGTGCCCCAGGTTGCCACAGCAGCACTGGCCGGCAGCAATGATCTCAACGAGGATGAGGATAAGCAGTCTAAATGTAAAGACAACACACCACAGCAGCTTTTCACAGAGCAACAGCAACAGCAGAAAGAGCAACAGAACAATGTAATACTCCAACCACGCCCACAGCCCTCACATCTTCCACAGCAGCAACAGAAGCAGCAGCAGCAGCAGCCGCAACCGAAGAGTCCAAAGCCGTCGACCAACGCCCGCGACGCTACTAGCGTGCCACATGACCAGTGTGAGATGGATCAGCTTTCCAGCAAATTAAAGGAGAAGTTCGAGGCGGAGACCAAAAACATTGAGGAATTTATTGATAAGACTGTAACCGATACCGTCAGCGGCATTGTAGAGTTCAAGAACGATCTGATGCGCGATATGGAGTTTCGCAAATTGAAATTGCCGGGTGGCAACACCATCACAACGCCACTGGATGCGGCTGCGACTTCAGTGGGACTCCGCAAGCGCAACATATCCTCTGTGCATGAGAATGGACAGTGCACCGATGCACCTGGTGGCGGTACCGCCGATCATGCCGTGGAGGAGAACAGCGCCGCTTTCCTCAAGAAGGAGATTGAAGTGATCAATGCGGTGGTGCAGCAGGCCAACGTTCTCCCAGCGGTGCTCAGTAATGGTCATGCCAAATAGTATCAGCGACCGCGAGCAATTGTGGAGAAACAGAACACGAACGCCAATAACAATGATGACTAGGACTAACGAGATGAGTGCCACGGCTTGGGATGGAGTAGGACCTGATTGATTTATCAAATACGCACACAAAACACACACACACACTCAAATGTAAATGGAGATGCAAACATAGATGCAAACAAACTACGAACATACGTTTTTTTGTGTGGTTTTAGTTTAAATCTTTGATTGAATTGAATGCAAATTGTTTGATTAAAAATTAATTTTTTAATAAATAAGTAAACGCTATGTATACATACATGTATGTGAATTCAATTTGGCAAGAAAACCAAATCTACTTACTATGTTGAGAATATTGATGTATCTAAATGTGTACCAAAAGTCTAATTGTTGTTAAAACTCTCTGCGTATATATCTGATTGTTAAAAGCATCGCCTACAGTGCGTTTCAAAATGAGATCATACAGTTGTGCACATATCCCGCATCTCCTTTGTAATCAGATCTCTTTGAGAGCCGCAGCTTCATAAGATATTCGATCACTGACTGAATTCGACTAGAAGCCTTTATCTATATACATTTTCAGACTCTCAAACTGGCTGATGCAGCTTTGGGACGCACTGTGCGATTCGGTCGTTTAATTAAGAACTCTTCCATATACATATTTCTATCAGATATACTAAAGCATTTGTTTGCGTGTTTTCCATATAGTCTATGTACCAGCAGCCACTAAAACAATTTCTAAAAACATTATTATTGTAGTGAAAATCCCGCCCGAAGGACCTAACAAATCGAAACGTGTAACAAGTAGAACCAATGAAATCCTCTAAAAAGCTAACGTACACACAAGAAAAAGTCAACCAAAAGTTAACTTTAGACTGAAGCTACATATATTGACAAAAGTACTAAGCCAAGGCGACAAAAAACCAGAACAAACACAAATTGTGCGTAGTTAATGTTAGTAATTAAGGCAGATTGTCATTTTTTTTACACTCAATTTGATTCATTTTTTACAAGTATGCGATTTTGTGTATGTGTGAAAGGGATACACTTCCACTATACATATATCTATCTATATACAAATGTACTCGTATAACTCTCCTTACCTGGCCTTGGCCTTGGCCCATGCCACCTGGTCGTCTTTAGAGTTCTGCTCATGTCCTCCACTTGTCTATGACTTCCTACTCTGTAGCTTTTAAGGACACACAACACACACCTTATATAACCTATTATCTTGTTTTATCCATTACATATATTTTTGTTAATACAATAAACGATTTCGCCCCACAAATCCTCACACACATTTATACGAGTAAATATATACCTATATATTTTTATATTTATTGTAATACCTACAAATGAAAAGAAAGCGAAACGGCAACAGAAAAAACACTTACAATAGGAGAAACTCTTACAGTGCACAATTCCTTTGTTTGGCACAGAATTGTTAATGCCAAGCGAAGGCCCTGAAATGCACAGAAGGCCACCAATCAGAGCCCAAACACTATATAGGAGTATAATAACAATTGCAGTCCAAAAGCAAATATACAATGCTAATTTGAGTAAAATTGCATAAATATTCGATAAATAAATTATATATGTGTAAGTTTTTTTGTATTTATATTTATTTCATCCCTATTGGATATAGTATGGATTATAGGGAAACTTGCTAAAATTTCAAACTCCCACTTATCTTGTAGAAACCGTCAGTCCCACTCGAATTCAGTGCGCATAAGTGGACGGTGCTACACTGGGCAGATCCAAAATCAAAGTCCCCAAAACGCTTCAGTATCTCACGGACATCGAAGCTGTTGGGGCATTTCTTTGCACTGTTGTCCTTCTTGCGGTAGCGATTGTTAAGCACGGTCATGTGAAGCTTGATGGAATCGCGATCGTTGTTATCCGAGGCGGCAAATCCAGTGGTTTGGAAATGGGCTAGGACACGGTCAGCGAACTTCTGCAATTCAGGAGCCTCAATACAGCCGTACACAATGCGGGCGGAGCTTGGATCATCGTTCATGATCTCCAGACCCTTGACTTTCATCTCGAATGGAGTGGTTAGATCTGCCAGGATGGAGCGACAGGACTCGAGCTCCTCCAATGCTTTCTTACGCTCATTGTCATCCAGCAGCACATATACACCCAAAGTTAAGTGGATACAGATCTCGGGAATGAAGAGTTCTTCATCGATGCCCGGAAACTGGGCCTCCAAAATGCTTTTCTGCGAAGTGAATACACAATAAATGGCTGCTCTGGTGGACACCATCGTCCCTGTTACCTTAAGCTCCATAAAGCGATTCTGCACTTCGCCAAAGTTCAATGGAACAGCCAGAAAATGGGTTGGACGCATCTTCCTGCGCAGGGAGCCAACAAGGGAGCGTATCTGGCGCAAGGCAGCACACACCTGGCTGCGATCCTTGGCCTTAATCGTCACATGTGACGACTCCTCGTGCTGACGTGGAATGTAAATTTCCGATCGGGTTTCTTCCTCGATGCGACGTTTGGTCGATCCCTTCAAACCAATCAGCCCGCCATAGAATGATCTGCAAACGGAGAGACTCTAATGAGACATTATCCATGGGCACGGGCCTTGTGCACTCACTTGGACACATGGAATGAAAGTTTATAGCCGCCAGAACCATTCTCTTCTATGTTGGCGGCGTCCGGGTCCTCCTCATCGTCATCTTCGCCATAAAGATCTGTGAACAAGAATTGTAATGCAGCCAAATACACTACGATTGCCACATACCGGTCTCCTCATAGCCCTTTTTGGTTGGGCGGCCTTGTTTGTTGCCGCCGTTCCACTTGTCGCCGCCGAAATCTTCGTGTACAACATTCACACGATAGCGACGGTTCTCGCTCATGAGCACAGAAGGAGGCTCGAGAACTTCGCGGCTCATATTTTGTTCGGGGGAGACAAAGGACAATAAGCACTGGGCTGCAAAACTATCGATGGTAAAATTGATAGTATCGATGGTTTTGGAATTGGGCGATAGATTGGTATAAAATATAAAGTATAACAAGAATGTGCAAAACCACAAAATCACAGGAAAATGTATGTGTATAATTTTGTAGACTAGTTAGACTATGTGTGAATACACATTTAAAACATCAAGCGATGTGTTCGTTGGCACACCGATAGTGAGGAACAGCGTTCATACGGTCACACTAGTGTTATTTCGCACGTGCACAGTTTGTTGTTAACAAATTTAACCCGCCGTCTAAATAAACGTAAATTAAAGTCATGCCAGCCGCCCCAACAGCCGTGAGCAATGGCAAGCCCACGGAACCCCACAAGTCGTGGAAGAAAGTAAATGAAGAGCGCAAGGCATTGAAAAGGGAGCGTAAACAGGAGAAGCTGCTCAAACAGATGAACCAGACCAAGGAGTCTGAAGCCAAGGCAGATGCTGCAGCAAGTGCAGCACGAGCAATGAAGAATAAGCCCAATCCATCCACTCTGAGCATAGCAGTGCCGGGCTCCATTCTGGAGAACGCCCAGTCCGCGGAGCTGAGGGCATATGTGGCCGGCCAGATTGCTCGGGCCGCTTGCATATTTCGCGTCAACGAGGTGATAGTCTTTGACGATGTGGGCGTGGCGACGGCACGCGAGACCAAGCGCAGCTACGAGCAGGACTCGGAGGGGAATGCGACGGGCACAGTGCGCAGCAGTTCGCTGCAATTGGCCCGCATCCTGCAGTATCTGGAGTGTCCGCAGTATTTGCGAAAATACTTCTTTCCACTGCACAAGGACCTGAAGTACTCTGGCCTGTTGAATCCTCTGGACACTCCCCACCATCTGAGGCAGCAAAGCAAGTTTCGCTACCGCGAGGGTGTCATCAGCGACAAGAAGGCCAAGGACGGACAAAGCTACGCCAACGTGGGTCTCCTCAACGATGTTCTCGTGGACAAGGCTATTGAGCCAGGGGTGCGTGTGACGGTGAAAATGGATCCAGCAAGCGGTATGTTTCAATTGCAGCTATCAGAAGGTAAAATGGGCACTAAATTTGGTGGTCTCTCCACCCCTACAGACACAAGCAGAAAGCAGCGTGGAACTCTGGTTAGTCCGGATGAGCCGCGCCGGGAGACGGGCGTCTACTGGGGCTACCAGGTGCGCATCGCCCATTCGCTGTCGGACATATTCACCAAATCGCCATACGAGAGCAGCTACGATGTAACGCTGGGCACCTCTGATCGCGGCACCAACGTCCATGACGTACCCAACCGTTCCGTTCAGTACAAACACTTGCTCATCGTCTTCGGGGGCCTGCAAGGTCTCGAAGAGGCGCTGGCCAACGATGACAAGTTGACTGTGGATGATCCCGAATTGCTGTTCGACCATTATGTGAATGTCCTGCCCCGTCAAGGCTCGCGCACCATTCGCACCGAGGAAGCGCTGCTCATTGCCCTGGCGTCCCTGCAGGAGAAGCTGCAACCAGAGCTGGCCGACGTGGAGACCGATCTGAGTGATTTGCTGCCGCGTAGCGAGGACACCGGCATTCCTATGGGAAGGGATGCACTGATTAGCAAGAAGCAGAAGAAGCGGAAGCTCGTAGAGGAAGCGCCTGATGAAACGGTGGCTGATGAACCTGCACCAAAGGAACCTGAAACTCCATCTCCAAAGAAATTTGTCCCTATCCCAAAGGCAGCTGTTGCCACACCAGCTAGGCTGTCAGCGAATCCGTTTGGCGATCCGTCAGCGACAAAAACCTCCGTGGAGGACGACTTTGAAGTGGTGCCCACAACAACCACCAGATCCGCATCCACCATGAAAACAAAAGCCAGCGACAGCGATGATGATTTAAGTCGTTTTGATTGAGTTTAATTTTTGAAATTTTATATTTGTAAATATATTGAACCGTATTGCTTTTACTCGACACACACATGCATATGCATATTATGTAATCGACTCGCATATGCATCCAAAGCATATAGTTGCATTTGATCTTTATTGTTTTTTTCCACTAATTTGCTAACCATATTATGTACTCTAGATGTGTACACATATATGTGTATATGTTTCATGTACTCGTGTGTGTATATACTGTTCAGGATATTGCAGTGCTTTGTTTTGTGTTGCATAACTAGAGCTGTATGCCGGTAGACATCGACTTTGATCGAAAGGTTATGTTCTAGTAACTTTCTACTTAAACACTAATTGAATACAGTTTAAAGTTCCAACGCGAATGTCAAAGCATGTGCTAGTGCTTATTCCCACACTCCCAACATTAACATTGTTACATACATCCATACTTATCATCAGCATCACCATCATCATCTTCACCTGCTCAATCCATGCACACTTTGATAACTTAAAGATTATGACCTAGTTTATCCGTGGACATTCTGCCGTCTGTCCACTCTGTTCATTACTGCTCGTATTTACACATAACAAAAGGCAATCCGTAAATGAAATAACTAAATATAATACGTGGCCACATTGTCGCTTGTCATGATTGGCTATGGAATCGAGTGCAGGAAACGCGACTCCTCGTGCAGGAAGTCCTCGTCCATCTCGATGCGTGTGTCGCTGTGGTAGCCCAACAGGGTTTCGGAGTCGTCCTCAAGGTGTCGTATGGGATAGCTAATGCCATCGCCAAAGCTAAGAGATGTTGGCATTATATTTGAGCAGGCTTTCGGTACAAGACATATTATGTTTAAGAGTTATGGATATGTGGGGGGGGAAATATTCGAGCATGATTAGTAGCGTGTGTGTGTGCGTTGGTGTTGTATTTGATTGAATGACTGATGGATTGACTTGGTGACGTGCAACAGAAGCAAAGCCATCGCAGAGTGAGGGAGATTTTTGGCAAATTAAAAACAAACCTTCGTTGTTCTTTTAAATATATATTTCCCACACTTCTTAAGTTCATTTCATACCTTCTTACAGAAAGAAATTCAATAAAAGCGAATATTAAAATAATATAAAAAAAATTATAGAAAAATAACTAAACATCATATCAAAAGTATAAAAAAAGGCTACCCAAAATTAACTTGCAATAAGTTACCAACTAACTACATTCATTAAAAGCAATAAGAAATGCCTAAATCGTTTTTAAAATTCTCTGTGTGGTGCATGTTTCGATTGGGTTGCTGAAATCTCATTGTTTAAGTCTTGGAGATTGGCTGATATCTATCTACATGGGTGGTGGCGGGTGGTTCAATAGTGAAACTCTAACTCTAATCGGGGTCACCACCCCAGAGATGGGCACGATTAAGTGAATGTTGAGGGGTCCTACCTAGGAAATACCTTATCATTTGCCTACATTCAGGTATAGGGCTCATCCCTACGCTACAATTAATATTGCCAGGTATTCCATTCGCTTTGTACATCCAGTACATTTTCCATACAAACTTTGATAAGTGGCTCTCAGTGAATATAAAACATATTGTACATACATATTGCTTACACATTTACTTAGATGTCTATTTGGGGTGTTTTCATGTTTTCTTTTGTGGGTGGTATGGTCCCCCAGTGTGGTTCCCAGCAGCCACAGAGGCTACATTACATACATATGTATATAGAGGTAACTTAGTGGTATATTACATACATTTCAATAAAAACTGCAACGATGACAGGCCACAAGTGCAACAGTTCTGGCAGTTTACACAGATATACAACAAACATACATGGGATACGTGTCTAAAAAGTTTACAGGGTCTACTTCTGTGGGACATCACCATTCGGCTGGCGGTAGGCGTCCTTGGGAGCGGCAACACCAGCAGCAGCTCCACTATGATCGCCCACCATATCGATGATGACCGCACCGCCATTGGCATCCTCTGGCAGGGTGCCAACATTGACAACAACCACCTGACTAGACGGGACTACTGCCGTGCTGCAGTTTGACGATTTGCCGTTTGCCAATGGCAGTTCCAGTGCGGGTTGCAGATTTAGCGACTTTGGACGGGCCTGGTGACGCGCTTGGGGCGGCTGCGCCTGGTTTTGGATCTGGCTTCTTACTTGATGTGGATGTTGATGTTGAGGTGGTTGATCATGGTTATTGGGTGTGGTGTCGAGGGGAATAGCGTCAATCAACTTATCTGTTGGATTGCCATCTAACCTGTTGGTGGTCGTGTCGCCCATGGCAGCGTATCGCTGGACGGGTGGCGCCTCGCCGCTTTGATCGCTGGATGTTGGATAGCTGAAGCCATCACCACGACTGATTCGAAAAACGTTGTTTTCCATAAATTGTGGATAAGCAGAAGGTTTTGGTAATTTGTTAAACGAAAGTTGCAAACAGAAATGTGTTTTTTACAGTTTAGCTTTTGTACTGGTTGTTGTTGTTTTTGTTGTTGTAATTGTTTGCTGATGTTGTTTTATTATTTTGTTATAATTTTGCATAGATGTGTGTGTGTGTGTGTTTGTGTGTTTCAACGAATTCGACTGATTTTTGTGAGGCATGTGGCTGATTTTTTTTAGAAAGCTTTTGTGAGCAATCAGCATTTTGTAATGCCTGACAACTGCTTGAAATTCCAGCGACCAAACGGGGTTACAATTAGCTAGACAGGGACAACTACTGTGTTACTTGCAAAGCCTAATCCCGCAAGCAGTAGTCAGAATTTCAAGCAGGCGTTAATAGCATTTAAAATTAGTTACTTATTCCAAAGAACTCGCATCAAAATTGGTTTTTAGTAAGGGACTAAACTCTATTTATAGCACTGGCCCCTGGACATCTCGTTATTTACACAAACACAAACCAGATTGTAACGGGGCGGGGGAGAAACGAAATGATAATTTTGGATGTTGCTTACAACTAAATTACAAAATGGAGATTGGACAACATTCAATTGTTGCTTTCTATTCTCCATAGTTTTTAGATATAAACGAGACATACAACGTTTTATTTAGTCTACATTTTGTGTAAATTATTGGTTAGAGAGGTTTTTTGATTTTTTCTGTTGCCGGTTGGTTGCCTTTGAACATTTAACATAGAACACACGTTTTCGTTTCAGAATTTGGATTGGGGTATCAAATTGTGGATTAACTACTTATGCATGGACTTGGGACTTGGATGTGGAGCATGCCTTTAATTTGCCAAATCAGATAAATCAAATAAAACAAAAGCGCACAAAAACAACAACTAAAGAGTGAGAGAGTCGAAGCTTTGCTTTCTCGGGTGCAGCACAGTATTAGTGTTATTAAAAATGCAAATGAGAATGTGAGAATGCCAGCCCAGAGACGGGACAGGTCTTAGAATTGCATAGAGAATAAAAAGCGCGACGCCCACATACCTGGTGAAGATGGGCAAAGGCCAGTACTGCCAGTCGTCGCCAAACACCTCACAGAAGTTGGCGTAGCGGCCCAAATTGAAGCCGTTTTTGTCCGGACCGCCGACGCGAAAGACTGGTGCTCGAAAAGATTCTGTAGAGATGGATGGGCAATTATAGTTATAGTTTTAATCACTCGAAATTCTATACTCACCCAGGGTGGTGCGATTGACCAGAACAAGGTAGATGTGATAGCCAAACAGGCTCACCAAGCTAATGGCAAACATGATGGATATGAAGAACAGGAACAAGATGTGAAAACGGCCCACGCCACTGCCGTTCAACTGGCCCTGTTCCGAGTAACCATTATTTTCGTACTTTTTATCAGTAAGTACAGGTAATACAGTACAGGACAATACAGTAAAACGGAAAAATACATTCATTAACTACGGGCTCTTCATGCAGTATGCACGGCAGAGATGCATGCAAGGATAATAAAAAAGTCTAAGAGGTCGAAACTTACGGCACCTACCTTCCAGAACTGAACGAAATCATGCAGCGTGGTGAATGCGACGTACAGGCAATAGATGAGCGCGTACCCCAGAAACAATACAAAGAATTTGTAATTGTAAAAGTTGACGCAATTGTTCACCCAGGGGCAGTGATGATCCATCTTGAGCACACAGCTATTGCACACGCTGCAGTGATGCGCTCTGTCCGGCTTGATGATCTTACACTTTTCACAAAACCGAACAGAGCCGTTCATTGTGCTACATAATACAGATTTTGTTTGTTAGTTTCCACTAGTTTTCACGATATCAAATAGAAAACATCCTCACCGATTGGTTACTGGCAAACTGCGCGCAAAACTGTTCAAAATACGTTTCTGCGTCTCTGGGTTATCCGCACGGAACAGGCGAGTTACTTCCTCGTCTGGTATCCGCCACTATAAACAATCAAACATTAATTTCTAGTCAAATGCATAATAAACTTGAACGGATAAACCCAGTCCAGCCCAGCCCTCCACCATGCACTATCGCAAACAGTTTTTGTTAGACTGCTGCTGTCACTGCTACTGATAAGAGCGTGTGAATCACACACATACACCACTCACTTGATCTGGCACTCGGCCAACCGATGTCATTATGGTTCTCCAGTAGGACCACATGAACAGTATCAGGGCTATGTGGTAGAAGAACAGCATGAAAATCATCCCCACAAGGTTCTCGGAGTTGCCTGCAAAGGTATCCAATCCAATTAATCAATCAATGGCAATCAGATTGAGCCTACTCACGTATGCAGAGCTCCACCACATAGGCATAGTAGGACCATGCAATCACGGCGGTTATGAATACAACCGGAATCCACTTGAACACAGCCATGCAAAAACCGCAAGGTGTCTTTCTCCGCCGGAGATCGTCGTTGCCCATTCTATTGATGCAACCAAATACGTTGGCTGCCAATTCCTCGTTGGCCCTGTTGTCTTCGTGCGTGGGGACAACTTGTGGGGCTGCTTCTGTCGCCGTCTCAATGGGCTGCGGTTAGTCGGTGGTTGGAGTGAGGGCGGGCGGGAGCGCACTATTCCTTATCTCCGCTGCGTGTTGTGTTATTAACTTTTTTTTTAGTGATTCACTGGGAAGCTAATGAGCAAACACAATCACTCAAAGATATGGGACGAAGGTGCGTACGAATATATGCTATGCTGAAGAACCACACTATTGCTTTCTTCCCCAGATGGACGGGCAAGTGAAAGTGTTGGCCTTAGCTAAACGCCATAGCTTTTTTTTGTTATTATTTCAAAATAATTCGTCGCCTGCTTGTTTGCAAAATTTTGTGTAGCAATGTGACCGCGGGACTTATCGACCAAATATACCGCCTGAACCTCAGAAATATATTGAAATATACCTTGTTATTTTCATAATATACCGTAAATATACCAAAGAATATGGGCCCACCCAATCATTGATTGCAAGATCCATTTCATTGAGTTTGATATTCGGATTAGGATTTCCTAGTTACTTTAGCCATCAGCACTGATCATATGAATTTCTACAATAAATTGCTTAATTTCCTAAAAGATTTGCTTATTTTAAGTACTCGTTTCTATTCGATTGTTTATTAAATAAGGTTTAATCAATTAAAGAAATGGACTTTTGATGGCAAAATTAATTTTTCACAGCGTAACTACATACCAACTACACATTTGGTACAAATTAACTACAGAGACGTCTAGCGAGGATATGTGTACGTTTTGCCGCGTCTTCAATTATATATATATATGAATATTTATTTGTTCGGTGTTTTCATATTATTGTTCAAACGTAGATTTGAACTGGAACTGGCAAAAGAATCACAGAAACGAATATGTAAAATATTGGATTAGCATAAAATATTCAAATGAAAACACCAAATTTTGGGTTTAACCCACTGAGCCCCGCTCTATTTAAATCCTGCGTATACAAATTTCTAGAGGTGGGTATATATCGACCCAACAATCGGTATTGGAAGTGCCAGAGGCTGCCACCAAGTTAGAAAATATAGTTTAGCAGATGTAACAATTAATTTTTTTATTTATTGAATTTTGGTTGTATAATTTTGGAAATTTTGTATGTTTAATAATTATATTTTCTTTTCAGCAGCACATTTTGTCTCACCTACTATAGTTGTACCATGCGATCACATGCACCTATTTGTACCAAATTATACCTTGCCTCCACAAAGCTGCAAAAAGCGTACCTTATGAATAATTCGACCATGCCGCCCCAAAGTTCCAACTAGACTCCAACCAAACCAACTAAATACTTTGCGCGGACCGTTGTGGCGTCGTCGATTCTACGGTCATCGGATTATGCGTTCTGCGTGCGTTTAAAAATTAAAAAGTAATTACAGAAAATCATAACCAAATACCCAATTGTGTCCAAAAATTAACTTTAGCCTCGCCCACGCTCCATTCCCCTCCGTTGCCACTGCCTCTCTCTTATTGTGCAAGTGAATGTATGTAAAAATGTGAGAGCAGGCAAAAAAAGTTACACTACGTGCGCGTAATAAAAAACGAGGCCGATATGCACGAGGAGGAGTGAATGGGGCGGTGGGTGGCGGTCGGTGCTGAAGGTGGAGGTGGCAGTGGTAGTCGTCGGCAGACTCCACCCGCCCCCCTCCCACCACCTAAGAAACATATAATATACATACATACAAAAATCTACCTATCACTTTGGCCTGCTCCCCCGTTGCTGTTGTTGCTAGATGTTGGCGGCAAGGTTTTTTTTCGGTTGGGAAGGAGAGGAGGAGGCCCGCCCGTTGGGCTTCCCTGCTTTAGTTTCGGTGGGGGGAAACAATCAATAAACACGCTTAGCCAGGCCCCAGCCCAGCCCACAAGCCCGATGACGAGCTAAAGTGTGAATAGTCGTCTGATGAGAGGGGGTGGGCTTTGGGGGAGACTTGGCCCCGTGCGCATATGATTCAAATGCCGGTTTTGAGCGCAGGCCGTCGGCAATATTTCGTATTGGCGTGCAATGCATTGCTCCAGCTATGCTTAATCTGTACAATCTCTGATTGGAATTGTTGGTCTCTAATCAGATTTATACACACACACATTCAGACAGTTGGAGAATGTGTAGATGTAAATTAATTAATTAACTGTTTGCGTAATTGAATGAAATGAAATTGAAACTGAAAGATTAACGGCAGTGAGTGTGTGTGTGTGTGTAGAAAGTGTGTGAGGTGAGGGGTACATATTTATATTCCCAAAGAGTCGCTCTCACTCAAGTAGCATATTCTCAGGTGCGTGCGAGCGGAAAAACGGTAGTGCCTCACCTTAAACGTGTGAAATTTGTGTTTATTAGGAGTGTGTGATATGATAAACTGCCTCTATCGACGGCTATCGGTATCGAATTGCAACTCCGAAATTGGGTCAGGGGCAACAACTACTGAAATTGCCAATCGCCACCGCAATTGATACCGAAACTCGAAAACTAAGTCTTTGTTGGCATGTGTAGGAGTTGTCGGGCCAAAACCACACACAAACACATACCCACAGTCGGCAAGTGGAAATAAACAGTACACACCTATGTACATACAGACATACCACGCCATACATAAAAGTGCTATAACAAAACGAATTGCACAGAGAGAAAAAAATATACACACATATGTATGCACACATATGTATGTATATCTGAAATGTTTACTTAAGCGAAAAATTATTTCGCACACAAGTAAATGGGCCAATAATTAATTAAACAATTACATATATGGCAGAACAAGTTAAAAAAATAAACAAATGGGAGAGAAATATATTGTATGGGGTAAAAGGTGTAACAGCACATAAATAAATCATGCTTTAACATTCCCTGGGTAACAATCCAATCAACTTAATTACAGCACTCTCAAAGGAAGCACTTAAATTTTCAGAGTTCGTCTCTTGGTTTTTGTTTCTCCCCCGCATCGTTGTACTTACATATGTATGCGTGTACGTGTATGTAACCACAAAAGCCACCAACCAACAAAAAAACAAAATAGCAACACGATAACAGGCCGGTAGAAGAAAAAAAATTATTAAAAAACCCAGCAAATACGAATTTTTCAATCAAATCTAATAACGAATTTCTGTTGTTGTTGCTTTTTGTTGGAACATCAAAGTCAATTTCTCGAATCTCGAAACAGCTATCCCCGGCCAGAATTTCCGAAGCAATAGCATATCCACAGCCACAGCAAAAACACTGCCTGCCACCCACCCAAAAGCAACAACAACAAAAACAAAAACAAGAACGGCAACCGCAACGAGAGAGTAACAAATTAAATTTGGTTTTAGCCATAAAAAAATCAGCAACAAGAGGCAAGAGAGGAAGCACAGAGACAAGAGTGGAGCAGCCGAGTAGAGGAGAGAAGTGAAGAGCAGAGAGCAACAAAAGCAGGAGCATCCATCAGCAAGTGGCAGTCCCAAACGAAGCCGTTTCAAGCAGCCCATCAAAGTCCGTTACCGTTCCGTAGGGGAAACCAGCAACAAAGTCAGGTGAGTGCCGCCTCGAGTGGACGGATTCCGTGGGAAGGGAAGGTTGAAGAAGGTTGTGGGTAGGAGGGGGGTTCCGTTCTGTCTTGCTGTTTGCTGTGTGTTCCCGTTTTCCCCTTTGCTTGTCTCCCTCTCTATCTATCTCTTTTCTCTCTCCACTGTACGCGATTAAATATTTTACGCGCTTATCAATTGCTCAAGGGTTGGCATTGGTTGATAAACAAATACAAATGAAAAAGCAAGCAGAAATTTAATAAAGCAGCACTCACTCTATACTGACTGTGTGGACTGCTTATGGTGCTTCAGGTGCAAGGTTGTAGCAGTGGAGGGGAAAGCAGTTCGGTGGGGAAGAAGGAAGGACAATTCCAAAAGCAAATCGAAATCAATATTCGCAAAAGTAAAGTTGTGGTAAGCAGAGGGGGGATTTGAACAACAGCGTTTCGATTAAGAAAGTAAATAGTTGTATGACAGATGGATTTAATGCAACTGTTACTTGTATAACAGCTAAATGCCTTCATTTGTATTTGTATGCATACCAGCTATTAGTATAATAGTAAGAACTGTTGAAACAAATACTATTTACAATTTGCTCATTTTTAAACACTGTCTCTTCAAGACCCGCTCCTCCTATTCATTAAACTTTCGCTGTAATTAATTCCACTTTTTATATATTGAGCATTTTCACGAACAGAAAAACTTGTATAACAGACAGACAACTGTCCAATGACAGGCACGGCTGTCCATCCCATCCCATCCATCAACAGAAAAACATACAATTTCTAAGCCAAATTCAATTCAGAGTCAAAAGAGGGCCAGAGACAGCGCGTGAGTGCAGGGAAAGGGAAATGGGTAACTTTTGGGCAGGACTAACTTCAATGCGTATCCGATTCAATGGCCTGGAGCGAGGCTTGTCATTCCATTCTCATTGCTCCCGACCTCTGCGCATCGCATGCTCCCGATCCACCACTCCTTCCTGCCTGCCTGCTCCCATTCCATTGTCACATAGGACAGCAGATTCCTGTCATGTCCTCACGTTTCCTGGACCTGTTAAGCTTATGGCCCGGCTTACTTTTGCTACTGCTTCTGGCGCTTCTTCTCCATTTTCCTGCTGATGGCCTCCGATGGCTGTAAGGTTGAATTCTTCGGTTATTGATTGATTTTCCTTTCATTTTCAGGGTGGGGGGTGCTCGGAACTGGGGCTGGGAATCCATTATGGACAGTAGTTCAATGGAGAAAGCTGTTAAAATAAAAAATTCATCAATAATATTTGCCCAGCGACCGCCCATTTGTATGCAATGGGAAATGCTCTAAAAATAAAAACACAATTTTAGTTTGTTTGGCTTCCTTCGCTGTGCTCTCTTCATAAGCTGCCGCAACTAATGAAAAAGTTCCAGCTTTTTCTATGAGTTGGCTTAAAGGCATTTATATTGACAGGAGCCACATGCTCCGTTTCGTTCATATCCCTTTTATGTTCCTTTCGATGCCCCAGGAGCAGGAGCTGTCTCTCTCTCTCTCTCTGCCACTGACAAGGGTGAACCGATGTTCGGTTGAGCACGTGAAAACCCCATCATAAAAAAAAGGAAAAGCCGACAAAGGACCAGCAACAGAATGAAACGATTCTTCACGATATTCATCTTTTATTTCTTTTATTTTATTATGGCCCAAACAATTGCCAACGAATATTGTTTTTCCTATTCTGATTCGCAATTAATTTATCAGTCCCAAAAATAGAACAGAACAGAATTACGAATCATTCGCGTAAATAAACAGAAAACACGCTGCATATGAACGATATTTTGGCCTGGAAATTGGGGCTTCGTTTCTACCTGTCCAAGGAAATCATGAAACTTAGGTGAATATTATTAATTAGCTCCGTGCTGTTGCTTAAGTTTTAAGTCTAATTAGACAGACAGGAGACAGGAGAAGGGGCAGGAGATAATGCCCTGCCGCGTGACGTCAACTAAACTTTTGACGGATGTTGATAAATTATGTGTAAATATTCGTATTTTGCAATTCTTGATTTGCAAAAGTGAGTCACACTCTCTGTTCCCTCCGATCTGACAAAAGTTACTGCGCATAATTTGGCGTTTTCTTCATCACAAAGTGGCCAACAAATTTCGGCCTAAATAAATAATCATAATTTTTGCTCGGCTCCTCTGCCCTCCTCTGTTCTCCCCCATTTGAATTTCAATCCCCCGCCCCCACCCCTGAAGCGAGAACGAAATGAAAAGAAATATTCACACAGTGAAAAATTTAATTGTTTGGCCAAAAGGAAAAGAAAAACCGAATGAAAAGAAACGTTGAAAATATGTATGTATGTATATGTATATGTCTGCATGTACGTGCGAGTACATCCAATAAAAGCAACGACCTTCGGCGAACCATAAAAAAAATAAAAACCACCACCCAACAATGGTCTCCTTGAGCTCCCTCCCAGACATACTATATATCGTCTTTATATACATATATTTATATTATATGTGTGTATGCCAAGTGCTGCTCTTCAATAATTCTTACTTTTCTCCAGTTGAGAGAAACCCCAAATTGCTGTGGCGATTAGCATGGAAAAATCGATACGATACGAGACATCCGCAAAAATAAGGGGCACATTATTAACAGATAATTGCTGGGGGTATTTGCAGACATGACTGGATTATCCTATATTACTTACAGATGTATGTACCTATACCAGAGGGAATCTTCTTCAAAAATAGTTATCTCTTAATAATATCTTGATTTCTCGTTTCATTTTATTTGAATCCATTTAATTAAAATCGTCTTAGAATCACTGTTTTGACTTCCAACTGTACCAATTTTGTGTGGATTGATTATTTCTGTAGTTGAGTATAAATTAAGCTACAAGTAATACAATTTGAAACTTTGGGTACCATCTGTAGCCCATCTTTTCCTGATAACTTTGAGTCCCCATCGAAATCTACGCTGCTGTATAGGATTTTGTACTTAAAATTAATTCAAATGCAAAGCCAAATGTCAACTTTTGGGGGCAATCTTGTTTCGTTTGTATGCCAAATGGGATTTACTTGCCATGTGTACTGGAGAGTACGCTTCCTGAGCAACAAACTTGGAAAGTTTTCTTTTAGTTTGTTTTGATGCTGTTGCTCTGTTGCTCTGCTGCTTTGCTGCTGCTTTTGGTTAAGATCCTTTCGAACTAATTAGGAAGGGCAACCGCATTTGGCTTTGATGCCTCCGATGAAAGTTTTCCCTTAGCTCTGTCATTTGGTCTCTCTCTTTCTCACTCATTCCCATCTTTCTGTGTGTAAACTTATCTTGATTGAGTTTTACTTCTGCCCTCTATATAGTGTATACGTATATTAAATAAACGATAAAGTTGGAGGCCCTCCCGATAAGCTCCTGTGGCACGTGAGGGCGCGAACTATTATTAGTTGACAGAGAATCGAAAATAGATTAAGTGTCGGACAGCACTGGACTGGACTGGCGCTAGTCAATAAAGTTGGAGAACCAAAGCCAATTAACTTACAATACCATTGACAGGGCATGCTATTTATCCCATTTGATTCAGTTCTGGGTGTTTGCCTTTAGGGGGGGATTCTCTTGTCGAGTGGTGTGTCGACTGTCGACTGTCAATATGCCAAGAGATGTCACCCCTTGAGACCCGTATGGCACTGTGGCGCTGCGGCTGTTGCCTGTGGCTGTGGTGACGGCTCTGGTTGCCCGACCAGACAAAAGTGAATAATTCTGCTCTCATTTTCATTTTCTTTTTCTTTTCTACACAGTTTATTAGTCGTAAATTGTGATTTTTTTTGTGGGGCATTTTCTTTGTGCGAAACTCGTAAATTTCTTTGTCTTTTTTATTTTAATATGCACAGCATTTTGTCTGCATCTCAGATGGAAAATGGAAAAAACAGCCCACGCGCTGGATACACATACATGTGTACATATGTATGTACAAATACATAAAGTATCTGTGCACACATATTGTATATTTTTTGTGTATGTCAGCAGACATAAAAAGAGGAGAAAGAGAGAAGGAAAGATATTCATTAAAAGTGACCCAGTGAGTCGCTTCTATCGTCTAGGGTCTGTCTCAATCATAAATCTCCAGTTGGGCTGATAAGCAGACTGACGCATTTGCCTGTTGACTTGGTTATATCTAAAGACTTGGCTTATCGCCATATATACATATATATGTACATATGTACGTATATATACGTATTGTGTATATGCAAAATGAGTTCTAGTTCTGATTCGATGACGCCTTGCCACCTGGCTGTGGGGTGTGCGGCAGGCCCTGATGACACCTGCGTTGTCCCAATACCAATCTATGTACATCCCAGCAACTGTGCTCCTGGCAGTGCAAATGGTCTCCACTAATTAGAAAAACTTTTCTAGTGTGATGGCAACTTTTAACTTTTTGTTGATTGCAAAACTTTGCTTTTTATAGTCGTACATTTTTGGGAGGGGGGTGTTTGGGTTCGGGTCTGAGTGAAATGTGTAAGGGAGAACAGAATGTGGATGACGAGGTGCCCTGATTGACTGACTGATGGCCAAGGAACATTATCTGGTGGTTGCTGTGGCTGGGTGTTTGGGTTTGAGTTCTGGATTCCGTCTCCTTCCACACACGCACTCATCATGCATCCACTCCACTCGCTTTATGGCGCTGACAAAACTTTGACTTTAATCGATTTAACAATTTTCTCCCTTGGCGTTGGCTCTCTGCTGCCCCAAGGCCCCATGGCTGAGCTTTGTTGTGTTTGCCCACAGGCAAACATCAAAAGTCAAGAAGCGTGACGTCAATTGGAGCCACAAACGCAGGCGATGGTGTAGTGGGTGGTGCCCTGTTCCCCTGTCGCTTGTAGTTGTTGCTACTGTTTACCCTTGTCTTATTAGAAGTGTGGTCAACAGAGCGGCCCACACACGGACACGAAAACGACACACCATAAGAAGAGTAAATTACTTCTAATAGCCCACGTAGCGAGTGTGTAATCTATTTTGAGTCAACGTTTGTTACGAATATAATAATT